GCAATATATATCATAGTTCATACTAGAAGTGAGCATCTATGTATAGATAAAACGTCCAGATGCTTCATTCCTTTACAGGCAAGAAAAGAAGAAGGCACAAAAAACTGATGAAGTTTGTTTCCCAAGAAAACGATTGCTCTCGAGCAGTCGTTTTTGTGGGTGGATCTGAGAAACTCGGCCCAACTCATTTATCTCCAAAGGTACGAACAAATTGCCCACGTGCCCATCAGTTTTTTAAAGTGTCTCAACCACCAAATCTCAACTACCAACTCGTTAGATTGACCCACATGGAATATACACACTCTAAGTTCGAGTGGGAGAATCGATATATAATATATCAATGAATACTACAGAAAATAAAATTTCATAACGAAATTAATCTTTTCTTATGATACGTACGATAGCTACTTCCCAATTTCACCGTGTGTTCGGAATCCAGTCAGGAGAACCAATACGAGCTCATTATAAGTAAAAACGATCGTCAACTAATATACCATTAATCTACGAGCACATACTTCATACTTGCATAGGCCGTGAGTTATCGAATCGAGTGCTAGGCGCATCTTAGTCGACGCGTTGGACGGATGCTGATGACAATTTTGTACATAAATTACCACCGCATGCATCTATCTAACCGTTGCGAGAACTTTACGCTCGATCCGACGACGCTCGATCCGACGACACACAACGCCTGTGAGCCCATTCTCACAAGAAGTTCTGCACACCATAATCAGATTGCATCCTAGACACATCAAGACACGAGCATGACTTGACCCCAATGGTAATGATTTTCACCTCTATAGTAAGCACTCACAACCCTTTTGTTTACAGCCTCTCGTTGTCTCCACAATGCTATCGGTTCAGAATTTGTGCCGATGAGAACTTTGAAAGTGATTGGTAGGTGCAGGTAGGTGGTGGTGGTACAGCAAGCAGAGCAATCGACCGATAATGATTTTCTCCTCCAATATATATATATATATATTGGCTGTCTCGAAATGATGGCCTGCAGCTAGCGTCGGCTTTTTCTTTGAAATATCGCTCTGCTGGTTTCTTTTCTCCCTCTTCTTCTTGGTGTCAAGAAGACAAAACCAGTATTGTCCGCTCTACCTAGAGCCATCCCCAACTGTAAGTTGTTGCACAAGGGAGAAGAAAAGGCACACCTGCTACATGGGTTTGATACGCATTTTGTCGTAGCTAATTAGAGCGTCTATGTATGCGGTGGCGGACCCAGAAATTTTTCATAAGGGTGTCCTCTTTCAAAAAATAAATTAAATAAAAATAAAAATAATTAATAAAAATAAAATAGTAAATATGAAAATATGAAAATATCTTACTCGTACAGGTTAAAAAAGTCCATGATGTGTTTTCATATTCGAAAATAATTGTAGAATATATTTGGTGTTTATAGTGTTAGAAAAAAATTCTCTATATACCCTACTAGACAATCATTCAGGAACTTATCGCATATTCGATTTGTAAACTTGTTCTTGATGTAACCCAAAGTTGAAAGACTCTTTAACACTTGCCGTACAATCATAAAATCAATACATATTAAGGGCATATTGAAATTAGTTTAGATTGAAATAATTATAGATAGGGAATGACTTTTTACTATTATACATTGTTCAAAATCGAACACCAAATGAGTTGTAGCTCAACGGAAATTAAGTTTATTAATAATAATAGTGTTCTAGATTTGAATTACCCAACCTACCATTTATATTTTTATACACAAATGAGTAATGACAGTAGGATAATCATTTTTTTCAAATTTCAGGGGTGTCCCTCACTATCAATTATATTTTTTTGTCTATACGTAAATTACCACCGGGGGTTGGATAATCATTTTTCCGAAATTTATAAACCCCCCTAGGTCCGCCCCTGGATATATATACGCATTTCATTTTGTTATGGGTTATTCGTATTATATGCCCCTCTATTATGACGTTCTATCAAACATGCACATCTACTATTTTTTACATCAAACATGCCCCTGTACTTTGAAAAAATTATCAAACATGTCCTTCTGTTAAAATTTCGATTGAAAAAATCGTCAATCATGGTTGAACCGATATTTAGACGACCCGACATCGGCAAATGGGAGGGAAAATGATAATTTTCTCCCCCGTTTTATTCCTCTAGGTCTCTTCAAAGTGAAATTATTTGAAGTATTTGGCTATACAAAAGAATCAAAATAAATTATAAAGTGAAATTATTAGGGATATTTTAGATATTTGTGTCGCTCAAACCAAAGTTCGGCCTTGGTTAATGGTTTTTGGATGAAAATTTTAACAAAAGAGCACGTTTGATCATTTTTACAAAGTACATGGGCATGTTTGATGTATAAAAAAGTAGAGGGACATGTTTGATAAAACATTATAATAGAAGAGCATATTATACCTATAACCCTTTTACCCTTTTGTTATTTGTGAGTTAACATGCTAATGCTAGATAATTTGGATGAAAGAATTTCGATCGAGATAGATAATGATTTCAAATTTCAACGACAAATTCTCAACATCATAAGTGGTTGTGGTTTTTTTTTATTTGCTTGTAATAGGGACGTTTCGATTACTCCGAATTCTTAGAAGCTTAATTCGGCCTACATATATAGAGTAATCACACTATTCTCCAGTCTCGAATTCCATAATGACTTGAAAATTTCTTTTGCCAACTTATCAGCATGCTTAAAAGAATCGTCCATCAAAATGTTACGTTGTTTTTCATGAAAAAGAAATTTAAGACAACAACCAGAGAGTATCGAGAACCGATCTTGATTGCCCCCAAAATAATGGTTTGGGCTACCAATTATAGCAAACTTATAACAAAACTTCAAGCATTGATCTCGACATATGAATCATGCTTGAAAGAAGTTCATTCCACACATGAATCATGCTTTAACAATCAGCTTATGTACTTAACTGTCTTCGAGTTGTCATTTTTATCCTCCATATTTTATGATCGATGAGAGGGAAACCGCGTTAGGAATTCATGAACTTCTGTAATGCATCAATCAAACATTAACGACACATTCAACCACTGATCATTCAACATTATAATTAATTCGACACAGATAAGGTTTCAGTCCTGGTTGGTTGGCTCTGACAATCCTGGTCGTAGATTGCAACCAAATTGATCGAAATTAATTTATTGAATTTACCAAATTTACGATACAATGTTACATATTTCGACTTCTCGTCTCCCTTCCAATTATAATTACGGTTCATCAGCCACTTATTAAGATTCCTGACTCCACCACGAATAATTATTGCTCATTACAAATTTAATTTGTTGAATATCTAGATGAAACAAATTTGTTATGATGGAAAAAAACAAGAGGTTGTTGATAATTAGATACTGATTTGTACACTTGCTAGTGAAGTTTCCTCGTGAGTCGTGACTGAGAGATAACGTTACGCCATGCCCCTCCCACTTGTTTTATGACACTCATATTATTAGTTTTGGTGAATATCATATTTGTCCTTCTTTTATTTACAAGAGAGAATTTCACTTGATACTAAGAGTACATATATATAGTTATACCACACTCAAAAAAAAAAAAAAAAGAGTACATATATATATATAGTGACACAATTACAGATCAAGAATGTGAATCCAGTTCAGAGAAAAGATTAACATCTTCCGATTATTGTCAGTAATCTACCTGTTAACAGGAGAGAATTTGATATCATTGAACAGAGCACTACATTACATTACACTAAAAAGTATGACTATGAAATATCATTGAACGAGTATTATCCACTCCACAGCAGCACCAGCATCAACGCCTGCGCGCGCACTTTCTTCATGAATTGCACTTTGGCAAGGATTTCACCGGAATAAATTTTCTTCCACATTGCTCCCTCCAAATTTCACTCACTGTAATCATCCACAACAACCTTTCTCGAACTGCCACTGGGTTATCGACCCTAAATTGACATAATAATCGTCTCTCAAGGAGAAAAGAGAAAAAAAGGGGGTAAATTGTGTAATGACCATATGCCAACTCTATTACTCAATCCCCATATGCCAACCTTGTTGGATTACTTATCCTCTGTATTGACTGTTTGATTGATACGATTTCCTTCTTGGATGTTTGTGTTAAAATAAAGCAATTAGCTTTGCTCAATCGACATCAATAATTCAATATGCTTTTTTATTCCCCTTTTGTCCATACATGAAAGGTTATGATCCCATTTCTTCAATCATTGATCCGTGACACGACAAATTAAAGCAAGTAGGGCAAGATTTCTTTTCCATCTTTGCATGATAGGATATCGTGATGAAATCCCCAGAAAATACCATTGAATACAATACTATTATCATCGTCATCATTCTTCACAAATACATGTAAATTTTGGTATAAAAAAAAAGAAACCAAATTACTATGTATGCTTATAAAAAGGATCTATATCACATTGAGTAGCTATGTGCACTAGCTAGTTTGGTCCGGTCCAGACAGGACCAAATTCACGAGAACCGCACGTACAGTCCAATAGTGAAAGACATCGCGCAAGACCAAAGATTAGATTAACAGTGCATTCCATTTTGATCTAAATGACAATTCAGTCCATTTTTTTCCTTACTAATTATAAAATTCACGAGATCAAGGACCGGACCGCATCATATTTGGCTCGATATGATCTGATCCAAGAGTCGGTATGGTGCGGTGTAATGCGAATCGTCCACACTAACAATCCATGAACCAACCCGTTGCACACTCCTACCATGAAAGTATTAATGTCCCTACAGTTAAGCTCACTTCTTGTTATTTAATTGTCACAAAATTAATTAATTACATTGTAAATGAAATACCCATTAAAATCATTCATAATTAAAAAAAAAATAACACACCTAATTTCAGCTTACGACGAAACGACTTAAGCCCAACACTACTTAAAAGGCACTACGAACGTACAAAGCCCTTAAGCCTCAACCCCCATTTCTCCTCCCCGTCTTCTCTTTTCTCTTCCTCTCACTCTCTCTCTCTCTCTCCGGCCATGGCTCCGACCTCATCCCAGCAGCTGCTCCAGAGCTTCCAGTCCTCCAACCTCGAGGAAGAGGTAAGCTCGGAGCTCGAGGAGATTCTATCGGACACCCAAACGCCGTACCACCGGCGGCTGAGCGCCGCCACGAGAGTCGAGCTCGGGTTGCTCTTCAACCTGGCCGCGCCGGCCATCATCGTCTACCTCCTCAACAGCGTCGTCTCCATGTCCACCCAGATCTTCTGCGGCCACCTCGGCAACCTCGAGCTCGCCGCCGTCTCCCTCGGCAACACCGGAATCCAAGTCTTCGCCTACGGCCTCATGGTAATTATCAACGCATTACCCCAACTTCCGTACTAATCTCTTTCTTTCCCACGTGAAATCCCGGTGACCACCAACGACTGATGGTCGTGAAAGCAAGAAGATAAATTTTTTTATAAGGGTGATGGGGGTTTATTATTTTTGCTGTTTTAGGTAATATTTAACGGATTCGAACCTAGAATCTTCTAAATTAGTGATATTATCATTAGACCAGGTGTTTGTTCGCCACGAAAAACTTTTTAGCAACCATTGTTTCGTCGCGAAAAAATCGCTTTGTTACAGCGAATCACCCCCATCAATATGTAACTCATAAAATCCGCTAAAAGTTCTAATTTACGTAGTATCGAGAATAGCTGGTAAATACTCTTTTCAATATAAGTCTATATGGATGTACACTTTTATACGTTTAAAACTTTCATTTTCATAACGGTTTTATTTATCCCGCGTTTTATTTGATGGTGCTCGTACTAAACGTGTTTGATATAATTAGTAATAAATAACTTATCCGTACCGTATTTTACTAATGAGATTTGTCGTTTGGCACCAGCTCGGGATGGGAAGCGCGGTGGAGACTCTCTGCGGGCAAGCCTACGGAGCCAGCAAATACGAGATGCTCGGAATCTACCTCCAGCGGTCGACGATCCTCCTCGTCATCACCGCGCTGCCGCTGATGGCGGTCTACATCTTCTCCAAGCCCATCCTGATCCTGCTCGGCCAGTCGCCGGAGATCTCCTCCGCCGCCGCGATCTTCGTGTTCGGGCTCATCCCGCAGATCTTCGCCTACGCGGCCAACTTCCCCATCCAGAAGTTCCTCCAGTCGCAGAGCATCATCGCCCCCAGCGCGTACATCGCACTCGCCGCGCTGGCGGTCCACCTGCCGCTGACGTGGCTGGCCGTGTTCCGGTGGGGGTGGGGCCTGCTCGGGGCGGGTTTGACCCTCAGCTTCACGTGGTGGCTGATTGTGGCGATGCAGTTTGTGTACATAGTGACGAGCAAGCGGTGCCGGAAGACGTGGCAGGGTTTTAGCGTCCAGGCGTTTTCCGGCCTCTGGGGTTTTTTCAGGCTCTCCGCCGCCTCCGCCGTCATGCTGTCGTTGGAGTTGTGGTACTTCCAGATACTGGTCCTCATCGCCGGGTTGCTGCCCGACCCGGAGATCGCCCTCGATTCACTCTCCGTCTGGTAAGTCGAAAATTCGAATATGATATTTTGAAACTTTAAAATGGCGCTAATTAATAAATAACGAATTGATAATGTTCAACATTGTTGTTGCAGCATGGCGATTTTTACGTGGGTTTACATGATCTCCGTTGGGTTCAACGCCGCTGCCAGGTCAGTACGTAGTCATTTTAATTCTTATTTTGTGAATTGACAGGTTGGGGTGAGTGTAGGTTGTTATCAAAATCCAACCCGCTTTCCATTCAACCGGCACCAAACAAACACACGATCGACGTCATTTTGTATCAAACATGAAAAATATAGATAATTTACGGATATTAGTAGTATTTATGATAATAATATAAACCTAATAATATCGATAATTGATGAAAATAAATGTTGGGCTTTTGGGTTAATGCTTTAGGTGCTTTTGTTCAATTATTAAGGGTTGTATTAGTTGTTTACGTGTTAATGCATGGGCTTAATAAGTCCAATTAGGAGTCTAGTTTTGTAGGAAGTCACGTCGGCTAGCTAGGGAAGCTGGTTCGGCCATGGTTAGGTTAAGTGGTAGGGTTTGGATATTATATATATATATATATATATATAGGGTCAGACTGGCGTACGTCAAATGTATACTATACGTCAGGTACTACTAGTGAGATATCTCTATCTATACCATGAATTAAATCGAGAATGGGGTATGATACTATACCCTAACCTCTAATGGATAAACCCCAGGCACCGATTTTCTAAACCCCAACCCGATGTTTGATTTAATGAAGAACAAAAACTGACCGTTGAGATTGGCCGGAGCTCATCTAAGTACATCTAACGGCTAGATCACCTGCTGTATACTATACGCCTGACGTACACCAGTCATTACCATATATATATATAAGTTCTGCGTTAGTCTGGGTTATCGAAGAATAAAGTTAAGGTTTATCAACACCAACGTCGTTCTCTCGCTCATGAGTAACAAGCAAAACTCTTGAATCGTGGGCTACGGTTCATCATTAATTTATTAAGGTTATTAGGATTAACAAAAATATATTTGAAAAGAAAATTGGGATGATAATTACGATGTACATTATTTGAAAAGAATAATGTATGATTTTGTTCGTGCAGCGTCCGAGTGAGCAACGAGCTAGGAGCAGGGCACCCGAAGGCGGCGGCGTTCTCGGTGGTGATCGTGACGTGGTCGTCGTTCATAGTCGGGGTGGTCGCCGCCATCCTGGTGATGGCATTCCGCGACGTGTTGAGCTATGCGTTCACCGACGGTGAGGTCGTGGCCGCGGCGGTGTCGGAACTCAGCCCCTTCCTGGCGGCGACTCTCGTATTGAACGGCATCCAGCCGGTTCTCTCCGGCGTGGCCGTGGGATGCGGATGGCAAGCATTCGTGGCGTATGTCAACGTTGGTTCTTACTACGTCGTTGGTGTTCCCATTGGGATTCTCTTTGGCTTCGCGTTCAATTTGGGAGCTAAGGTGACGACATCTCTTTTATATATCCGTTAACTCTCCTAGCATTTGTATTTTTGGATTCCAAAATTCTTAAATACTATTGATCGATTGATGTCGTAACTCTGATCTACTGAGCTATTAACAATTGTGGTGGTAAATGTTACGATTTGGTGGGTGGTATAGGGGATATGGTCAGGGATGATCGGAGGCACCTTCTTGCAAACATTGATTCTGATTTGGATCACTTATAGGACCGATTGGAATGTCGAGGTACGTACTAGCTAAGTTTGTTCGAGTTTCACATTGCATCTATATATTTTCCGGCTCTTGTCACTATATATTAGTACACAATTGAGAGAAAAAGCTTTTGCGACGAGAAAAAAAAAAAGGAAAACAGTCTGCCCTTCCGAGCTTTTCTTTGGTCACCAAAAGTTCCTCTTTTCCCCCCATTTTGGTGCTTAAAATTTTCCCCATTAGTGGGCCTTGACTTTGTACAGACGGACAGACCATTATTCTTTGTGGGGTAGGGTTTTTGGGTAATTTTTGTTTTTTTACCATTAAGCCCATTTTAGATTCCTTGATGTGGGCCAGTACGAAGATGGGCCACTAGCTATTGAATTATTAAAGCGAATTTTGTTTTATCCATTATGGGCCGGCAGTATTTTCGGACAGGACTCCTGGGCCCAATCTCTTTAGACTTGCAACTTGATATGAACGTTGTTTATCTTGAACTTTGGATACATTATGGATACACGCACATCGCTTCATAACCATCATGAGTGACTCATGCCGAAAATTGTTTGATAGGGTTGCAAAATTACTCATTTTTCATTATTTGTTATAAACTTGTTACGATTCAGAGTTTATACTCATGTGTTCGTCATCTACGTAATACAGTTAATTTTTAATATTTTTTCCTTCCAACTTTGACACATTTCTAAATCATAACATATCATCTTTCTGATCTGTCACGAACCTGCATGCATCTACTTTGGTTTATCATGGTTTCGCCTAAATCAAAGAGTTTGACACATCAAGTCATCATTAATCGAAATAAATTTCACTCTAAAACTAAAATTCGAACAAGAGACTTTTTTCTATCACATAGATTGATACGAGTGCTCGTTACGTTGCTTATGAATGTAGTGATGCTCTTAGACCATCCTGTTCTTTCGTGTTATAGTGTGTGTATTCTTGAGTTTCAACTTGATTTGGTTTTCTTATTTTTTCAGGTGGACAGGGCCAAGGAAAGGCTAACAAAGTGGGATGATAAAAAGGAATCTGTCCCGGAGAACCAAGAAAGATTGTTGTCCTCTTAGGTGTACAGAAATCAAGCAGCATATATTTGCCTGCAATTTCTCCCTTCAGTGAGTGAGGAGTGATCTTTCTTTTCGTTCAATTCCTAGGTTTGTTTGCCTAGATGTTCTTGTTGTTGTTAATTATAATAATGGTAGTAGTATATAAATGTGCATGTAATCGATCACCTATAGAACTAAAGGGAATCGTTTTCTGCTGCAAAAATATGTAAAAACTTTTAACGAAATCCCAATAAAGATCGGTTTTTGCTCTACGGAAGAAAATCATGTGAAAAAAGACACGCATGGTGATATATATCTCCATCATGTCTTAAAATAGTGTTGAGTCAGTAGAGGGCATAAAATTTGTTGATATATATTATTTGAATCAGATTATTTGGTAATGACTGGAAGTTACGAGGGTCTCGCTGCCAGTCAGCGAGTGGGATCGAAAGACAGCATCTAGTTCAGGAGGTTCGGGGGAGCGATGCTTCTCCCGACAGGGGGTTCAAGGGCAAAGCCCTATCCACGGTGTATGGGCTTATACACTTTAGTTTTATGTTATGGGCTAGTTTGTAACATTATCTTTACCATATTGGATTAGGGTTCAGACTAGCGTATGTTAGGTGTATACTTACCTTACCTTACGCTCGTCGAGTTTTGTTATTTAGATCATGAATTAACTGGAGTTGGGGCATGATACTATATTCCTAACCTCTAATGAGTGAACCCCAGTCCCTGATTTTCTAATCCGAACCATGAGATTCGTTTAATCTTGAAATGAAAATCAACAGTTCTGTTTCGTTGAAATTATCAAAGTACAAATTATATGTATGAACTAGTCTAGTTCATTTGTGAAGATTTCATTCTAAGTTTTATATGCGCCCAATAAGCATGTTATTGGTGATGTAATTTAGGTGTTCAGTAAGTAGGTTAGGTAGAGTTCGCAATCCGAATTCAATCCAATCTATCCACTTAAAACACCGCATTAGTCCAATTCATCTAATCCACATTCAATTCACTAAAAACACAGAACCTATCCTGTATTCATACAAACAATTTAGTACCTAAACTTTACAAAATTTATAAAATGATCCAATGTTTAGATGTCACTTGTATCCATGAATCTAACCCAACAATACATTTGATCCAACTCATGAATCCACCAGTACATTCGATCCAATCTATGAATCCACCTATCCGTAAATTCGATAATCCATTTGTCACCGTTAGGCGTTTCTCTTTTTTACCAAAAAATAAGTTAATATGATTGTCAACCCTTTCCTCCCATCATTTTTCTATAATGCATATGTAAGGAAGTGGTTAAGCACCATACACGGGCCTGTATAAGATCCAGCATAACCTTTCTCAACAATTCGAGTTATTGAGACCAACTGGTCTATGACAGCATAAAGTACTGTTAGACGATAATTGATTAGATCGAATTCCAAAATAACGTGCAAGTGTCTATTACATAGCCAAGCTACCATGTCCGTTGCTTTCTGCAGAGTGGTCTGCGTGAAGCTGTTGGTGATTCTGTATGCTTTCTTTTAAGTTTAGATTGGCTCTAAGGATTGCACCAAGACTGGACAGGGTTAGCAGATTGGGATCCCGCTGTTTCTTGGGCGAACATCTGTTATGGAAGTTTCATTGGCTGCTGTGTTCTGTTGGTGGCTTGATGTAGCTCTCCACTTGCAGTAGTCGGATGTCTTTCGGATTGTAGCAGTTAAAAATATGATTCTACGTGTAAGTGTTTTGGTGATTTTAAAGCGTAAAAGTATAAGTTTTTAATCTTTAAAACTCGATGTTGATTACATTAGTTAGAAAAAAACACAATTCTAGATAAAAGCGTGATTTTGACTACATTAGCGCCTAGCTATGTTATGTTGGGTGGGGAAGGGCCCGCATCGCATTTAGAGGTTTGATATATAGTAAAAAGGACATTGTTTGGCGCGGGTGGACAAAGGTGACATAACGACATTCTTTGAAGATAAAAAAAAAAACCAAAGAAACATTACATTCTTAAGCAAATCAGTATTATGTCATAAGAAGTAAGAAGTTCTAAATATTAGTTTGATGTCCAATCCGTTGGTCGGAATGTCATTTGAATATGATGTATATACGATGTACATTCTAAAATTATCAAAATATTTCAAATGTTTATTTCTATCCAGTAGCTAGAAATTGTTGATAAGATACAGAGTACTGAGTACTGATAAGTATCTATATAGTACTTTTCCTAAAAGTCTAACCTCCCGTGACTTCCAGTCAACAGCAAATAATCCGATTCAAATTATATCAACACTAATTTATGATTTACCTATAACATTTCGCTTTAAAAATATCGTTGCACATACGACCTAACGATAATATGGACATGATAACAGCCAACATATCGTAGAATATTGGAATCAATATGTAGCTACTTTTTTTTCTTCTGCCTAAGCCCAACAGTTCCGAGTGATAAGCACATAGGTGATTCTTCCACTGCTAGCTGCTTGCTTTCTTCGCCATGTGATTTCCTGCCACAATAGTATTAATGCAATATGCAAAAGGAGGGGTATGTTAGCTTATTTTGGTACTATATATTCATACCAAAGTTAGGTGCTTCATACTTCTTTTGTTTCTCACTGTTAGCAACTTTGAGAATATATATGTCCTCTCAGTTATCCACTATAGCTAGTCCATTGAGATTTGCATGGTAGTTGAGCATGTTATGGGGAATGAGTAGAGTAGGCAAAACAAAGGAAATAAATGACACATGTGGTTCACTAACAAGATACGCACTATACTCTAAGTGTATATTTTAGGCGTGACTTGACATACACAGTACTCTTGTGATTATTTTGACTCACTCTTTCATCAGTGAAATTTGTTATAGGATAAAAGAGTGATCGACAAAGCAAGATAACAAATGACAAGGGAAATTGCATGTTTTACTAATACAATGTACATTAACTGACCATGTACAGAGAAAACAATACATTATTTTGATGAAAGTGTACAAATTATAGATGGTTACGGATGCACATATATATAAAACCCTACTCTTAATTAGATCTAAATATATATAAAAAAGGAAAAAACGATCCTGAAACCAAAATGCAAATTTGTAAAGCTAGAGGTGGCGGTTCGGTTCGAATAATCGAACCAGAAATCATTAGAAAATGAAATGTGATAGCCAATTGCTTGAAATCAAAACAGTTAAGTGCTTACAAAAAACTAATAAGCTCTTAACGGATTTGGTTTCGGCCTGAAAATATAAAGAATGAACTTTCAATTGCATTAAGGCTTTATCAGTTTATTAACCTATTTCGGTTTTTACTAAAACCGTCAAGGGCTTATAGATTTTTACTCTTTAAAGGAAACAGATGAGCATATAAAACCATTTAAGTTAAAATCGAATCGAACTACAACCCCTACGTTTGGATTACAACAAGACTACTCCATATTACCAATCGTACCGCAAAATAACCAGATCATCTTGCATCTAGATTTGTATGAATGTGTAGATAATATAATGTATATGTCTATAAACAGATAGTGTTTCATTCTCATTAGTGATTCTTCATGCCTCAACACTTTTGTTGCAAAAAAGAATCACCATATCGATATGTTCCCCTAGCTCATCGTCACTCACACTTCTTTCATGTTCTGAAAAAATTCGTTTGTTATTCCTTTAGCTTTTTCCCCATTTTCGGTTACAATATCTCTACATTTTCAGTTGTTTGTTGTGCAGAATCTGATTAGGGATGTTCCTTCTAGTTTTAACAATCACAGATCGTCGTGTGTGGTTGCGTAATTTATCAAAAAATTTACATGCATTAGCCATTGGCCATCCTTTTTTTCCCACTTGCTGACTAAGCTTTCTCTCTTATAATCGCGTGTAAGATCATCATATATAAAGCACTAAAAAGGGAAACCCTAGCTAAGCTTGATAAAGGAATTCGATTCCCCTTTTTTTACTTTTCAACCATGTTTGAGCTATAGTTGTTAATGTTTGAGAGAACGACGTTCATTCGACCCACTTTAAGTATAATGCACTCTTTGTTACTTTCTACGACAAAAATCGATATGTTTGGATGACTTGATGAGCATTAGGTGAGATATAGTGATGAAATTAGAAATCTGAATGAGAGGGTTAGAAAAACTATAAACTCAAAGGATTCAAATTGTGGTAATCAAGGAGTGAAGCTAAAACCTTTCCCCCCATAGAAATGACAAAGAGAAATTAGTATGTAAACAAACAACAACAACAATCCACCTTACACCCTTAATAAAAAAAACCCACACAAGTCAACGTACAAAGTCGAAAGAAATTAACTCTACAAGAGACAATACTAGTGCCTTTCACACCATTGTATGAATAGTCCCATTTGCAGTTCATGAAACTCCGAAGAAGGAAGAAGACGATTGAAGACAATCACGAATAATAGGCCCACCCGAAGAATTCGAATGCACTCTTTGCTGAAGTTGACGAATAACAACCTCAGAATCACCTTAAATCATTACATTGGGAATTTGATGGTTGATCACAAGAAAGAGAGCATCACGAGCAGCGAGGAGCTCATCTATATATGTGTCTGGAATGCCTTGGTGATGAGCTACCGTGGCTAGGGAATGGTTGCTTAGTAGGGATTCTCGTGCATGGTGAATAACCAAATTCCAATTGAAATGACAAATGTGATCATCCGGAGCTAAAATCTTATCGACTATTTTATTCTTAAATTTATCACAAATTATATACGCAATTTAATCTACTTTTAATAGTTGAGAGGGCTATACGTTGTAACCCTACCTTCAATGCGACTTCACCATTAATATTGGATGACATAACTAGACATATATATTCTCTCCATTTCGTGGTTACCTAGTTTAAACTTTAAAAGTGCTTTTTCCCCTTTATTCTTTCTTTCTCGTCTCCCTTTCCTCTAAAAGAATTTTTTTAAATGAGAGTTCATCTGAATAATTAATTAACTATAAAATGTTGAATTTTGGTCAAAACATAAAACTCACCTGAAAGACTTCGTGATTTCGAATATATCCACTGTTCCATAAGATTCCCTTGAATCGATTGGTTACAATAATTAAATCTTGGTTACGTATAATGACAACAAAACATTAATTAGTCGCAGGTTTTGGTTCCTACATCGCCGTGGAAGTAATTAACCAAAGTCCCAAACTGATTTTTTGTTTGTATACAACAATAATTTCTTTATTTACTTATATACAAAGCCTGTACCACAGCTGTCCCCTGTATATATAAAAATTAATTAATTATATATATATATATATAGATTTTTCCTCATATCTGGGAACTGACAAGAAATGCGAGATTATCAAGGAACCCTAGCTAATGCATATAAAGAACGTTTTCTCAAGCCATGAAAAGATCGGTAGGTGTGAGATAATCCAGGATCGACCGTCTGTCACAAACTCCACAAAAAGAATCTCGATTGATGTTGTAACTCCAATATATTTGGTTGACGTTATAGTAACGTCTATTCTTATGTTGAGCAAATATTATAAAAAAACGATAATGTAATATAGGTCTTCAGTTTTACGAAACGATTCTCACTATGATTTTTAGTTTCTAACTTGCTTTTGGTCGTGGAAGAGAGTTGTATATATATGATCCGAAATTAATTCTCCTCAATAATTCGAGTTATTGGAACTGATTGATTCATGACATATATCGGAGCTAGCTTTGGCCAAGTGATCCTACATGACCTCAATGTTAACATGAAACTAAAGCACATGATTGGGTGATATTGTGCAAATTTCAAACCTATGAGTCAGCTATCATTTGAGAGAGCGTGTAAACAAATTTTTTTTTTTACGATTCATAATTAACCTTCTCACAACAATTTAAATTATTGAGACCAGTTGGTTCACGAGAGAAAAGTTGACACCCAATACAACTCCTAACTTTTATTGCCTATATATAACTTCACACATCCTAACCCTCCTTTTTAAGTTCTCACATCATTAGCATCCCAAACTCCGGTAGTTACAGAATACAATTTCTTTCTCTCACATGGCCATGTCGTCGGCCGACAACGACACGTCATCAACGGCCGCATGCAAATCTTCATCGCTTCTTGAAAACGTCTTATCGGATTCCAAGCTCTCGCCGGTGCACCGCCTCCGAAAGGCCACCGCAATCGAGCTGAAAGCCCTCCTCCGCCTGGCCGGCCCCACCATCGTCGTCTACATGCTAAACTACGTCGTTTCCATGTCCACCCAAGTCTTCTGCGGCCACCTCGGCAACCTCCAGCTCGCCGCCGCCTCCCTCGGCAACGGCGGCATCCAAGTCTTCGCATACGGCCTCATGGTAACGTTTATGAACACATTTTTAGATCCGTACATGCATGTCCAATGACCATTATACCCTCGACTGATATTTTAAGCGGAAATCGTGATCTAATCGTAGTTCAATTAATTTATACGTCAAAATAATATCTATCAGCCGTCTCGCTTTTCGATAGAAGATTTTTCGAATCGAACTGTCTATATGATATGATTTTTTTTAATCATTGTGTTTTTTTCCTTGTTGCAGCTAGGAATGGGCAGCGCGGTGGAGACGTTATGCGGTCAGGCCTACGGCGCCAAAAAGCCCGAACTTCTCGGCCTATACACCCAACGCTCCGTCGTCCTCCTCGCGGCCACCGGAATCCCGCTGACGATCCTCTACGTGTTCTCCAAGCCGGTCCTGGTCCTGCTCGGCCAGTCGCCGGACATCGCCTCCGCCGCCGCTCTCTTCGTCTACGGCCTCATCCCGCAGATCTTCGCCTACGCCGCCAACTTCCCCATCCAGAAGTTCCTCCAGGCGCAGAGCATCGTGGCGCCGAGCGCGTACATCTCACTCGCCGCGCTGGGCCTGCACCTCCTCTTCAGCTGGCTCGCCATCTACAAACTGGGCTGGGGCCTGCTGGGCGGCTCCTTAGTGCTGAGCTTCTCGTGGTGGGCCGTCGTCTCGGCCCAGTTCGTCTACATAGTGGCGAGCCCGCGGTGCAAGGAGACGTGGACCGGGTTCAGCTCCCAGGCGTTTTGCAAGCTGGGCCAGTTCGCGAAAATCTCGGCGGCTTCCGCGGTGATGCTCTGTTTGGAGTCTTGGTATTACCAGATCTTGGTTCTGGTTGCCGGGCTGCTCCAAAATGCCGAAATTGCCCTAGCTTCCCTCGCCATATGGTAATTTTTAAAAACAATTGAAAATCTTATTTACGTAGTATCCCGATGATTGGGACTAGTCGACGGGAGAGATTAATTAACGCGTTATTTGTATGGCAGCACGACAATATCAGGATGGGTGTACATGATATCAGTGGGCTTCAACGCGGCTGCAAGGTAATTAATTAATTCTCTAATTACTATGATTAATTATGATTAATCAGGGAGCTGATTATGTTTTATGTTTGTGCAGCGTGAGGGTGAGCAATGAGCTAGGAGCAGGAAATCCGAGGTCAGCATCCTTTGCCGTGTGGACGGTGACAGTGATGTCATTCGTCATAGCCCTGGTGCTGGGCGTTGTAGTCTTGTTGTTGCGTGACGTCATCAGCTACGCCTTCACCGGCGGCGTCACGGTGGCGGCCGCCGTCTCGGAGCTCAGCCCTTTTCTCGCGGTTTCCATCTTGCTTAATGGAATTCAGCCGGTTTTATCCGGTAAGTATAAAAAAAAATTGAGATAATCATTGACGGATAGTTAATCAAGAAACTGATATGTGAAAGAAGATTATGTAATGATGATAATATTCAACCCGTTCTTAAAAAAAAAAAATCTGATTAAAATTTGTAATGATTGCTTTATAATATCTTGAAGAATTGGCTATGTTATAAGGATTAATGTGAAAATTATTTTGATATATATGTGTGAAAATAGGAGTGGCGGTTGGTTGTGGATGGCAAGCGTTTGTCGCCTATGTAAACGTTGGATGTTATTACATAGTGGGTCTTCCGTTGGGCTGCGTTTTGGGTTTCAAGTTCGATCAAGGAGTTAAGGTATATTGATTCATATATTAACCACTAATTCTAAATCATCTTGTTAATCATTATTACCTCACTCTAGCAAATAGAAATCTTTAGAAGGGATTTAAAAAAAAAAGTTTATTGGTGAATTGAAAACAGGGGATATGGACCGGGATGATTGGAGGAACTTTCCTGCAAACAGTGATCTTGTTGTGGATTACGTACCGAACCGATTGGGATATAGAGGTACAATCATAATTGGACTTTTCGAAACATTTTATTTGAGTTTCGAAACACTAAAGTAACTACGGTGTTTTTCTGTTTTTTTATCCCAGGTGAAAAAGACAAAAACCCGTCTGGAAAAATGGGAGCATGGGACACCGATGATCCAAGAGAACGAATCATGATTTGGTGATATGAATTGATAATAGAAAGTACAATCCAATTAACTAATACTTGAAATTTGGATAGGGTGTTGAGTGTTGACTAGATCATTGTGAAATGACTACTTGGATTGTGCTACAATATAATTTGTTATAGTGATACGTAATGGAAGTTCAAAACAAAATATTGTGACGAGAAAACAAGTCATATTCATCCCATTTTTTCACTTTACTTAACTTATATACAATTGAGTGTGTAATCATTAAGGAAAATGAATCTTATATAGCTAGCTTATTAAGGAATGTGATTCTTGTCAACTATGGAAAAAATATGTTGATGGGACTTATATATGAAAGTGACAATTGTTATTACGGTTCATACACCCTCAAAATAGTGTTTGAATGCAAGTGTTTGGTGTATGAGGATTCTAGTTTGCATTACGTTGACTCATGCGGAGATTTTTTGAGAGCTTCACCACTATGACTATATGGAGAACGCTTTATGGAAGAAGTGCTCCACAACTATACAGTTACAGGGGGGAAAAATAGATAGATGAGATCCGTGGTTTCTTCTTTGTTGGGTTATTTGTCCCTCTCTAGAAAGTTCTTCAAGTTTATGTGTGAAGAGCTATCCAAGCTCTCTCCCCTCTTCCTGAAAATTAGCTCAACGTAGCATCTAAACGAGTTGATTATTTCTCTTAGTAATAGTTTTCGTTATTGCTAGACATGTCATAGTAAGTATCCACCATGTACCAATTAGATAGTCCAATAATATTAATGAAGATTGAGAGATTATTATATACTCTCGAAAGTAACCATTATAAAAGTAGTAGTTGCATATGGTTACCACTTCAATAAAATGAGGTTTTTGCGATTTATGTCACTATAGGGTGTCTAGTTACATCTAAACCTTTTTGGAGCAACATATTTATGCGTTGAACTGTTGGGCGCTAATTATTTTTTAGCAATTATGATTTATGAGTTCCCTTATACTCTTTAATCCGTCCCTGATAGTTGGATTAAGATCAAACTCGAAAACAATAATATATACATGTCCTTGTCCTTGTGCTTTCAATGTTTGAAGAAATTAAAGGAGTCCATTCAAATCATACTAACAAAATATTTTTGGAAAAGAGATGAAAGGGAGGTAGCGCCGGAAGTGATGAGGAATGGTTGTCATTGTTATGAATGTAATCAAAAGTGTAATTTTATTTTATGTAGAAGTGTTCTGGTGATTTAGAAGCGTAAAAATTTAAGTTTGGTTTTCACAACGTACATTGTTTCACAAAATACAATTACAAGCTTGATTCTATGTAGAAGTAGGGATGTACAATGGTTGGTTCCGGTTCAGACCAAATTCATGAACAATGCACCCAACCAAAGGGATCGAAGAAACCTTTTTTTTTCTTAAAGAAACTTGTAAGTATCACGAAGAAGATTATCCTCGTGGAGCATTACTATAAGTTATATAACTATGGGTTTACTTTAATATATTTAGGAAGACGAGAACCAAGAGGATTCGTATCCCCCCGCTGGCCAACCGAATCCCATAACTCACTGTCTGTGTCTGTCCATTCTCAAATGAGAGGGTGGAAGTTAAAGGTACAGCCAGGTCGGTCACACATATATTGTTTTATTGCAGTTCCCTCGGATTCTTTCTTTCGTGGCTCTGCCTGAAGAAAATGGGGTTTCCATCATGGCATGTGTTCTCTAATTTACTCCGGCTGCCAGCGTTTGCTTGTAATTTGGGTGTTTGCTCTTCGTTTGAGGTCGCGGTAAACAATCGGCGTAGGTACAATGCTATCCTTCAATCGACTGACTTCATACACTTAAGGGGTCGTTTGGAAATTGCGATTGTTAAATATATGTATTGTTGAGAATGCATGTATAATATTATACATGTATTGTCGAATTTGATGCATTGTAGAATACAACGTTTGGTATGTGTGATTGTGTATGTCGCATCAGCTAAAAGCTGAGACCAAACAATCTCAATTCAACTATCTCAACAATCACAACTAAAATTTGAGATATAACAATTACTCAAAATGAGTGATAGTTTCTGTCACATTACAGAAACAATCCATGTATTGTTTCTGCTAAAAAAACAAAAAAAATGATGCACTGTAAACAATACATGCATAATAACAATTTCAACAAAACAATCGCAACTTCCAAACGACCTCTTAGTACACGACCGAGTTTGCTTTGTCACGGAACAGCGAGCGGAGCGATGTCTGACATCATGTTTTAGTGATGAATTGATGATATTCAACAATTTCAACGCCTAGCTAGTCAAATATAGCTGGACACTAGCAGGTAGAAAGAACAACAAGTACGTTCACACATATATACTTTCCTTGGATTTTTTAGTAATCGAGTCAATATTAGTTCCCATCCTTGAGATCATATGTCTATAGGATTTAATATAGACCAAATAAGTTTATGCACAACACCATTAATCGGTACACATTTGAAATGTGCAACAAGCTAAGTCAAGTGAAGCAATGAAAAACATCAAAAGCTTTGACGAATGATTAATTTGGCTATCTTTTTTAAGATGAAAAAGAAGACGGAAATGTCACCTTGCTAATCATAAGTGATCATCACCATAACCAGTAATTAGGAGTTGTTGCACAAGTACTAGTTATGAGCGGTCAACACCAGACTAATCATGAGTTGTCGCGGTAGAATCATAGTTGTAGTCATTATTTTTTTGCAGTTGTAGCCATTGCACTTTTTGCAATGTTTTGGAAACTCTATTAGACTAGTCGGTAGGAGAGAAAATATCGGATACCGGACCTCTAGTAGACAACTTTAGTGGTACAAAATAGTTGAATCGCATAATTTTAATACAAAATAACTTATTACCAACATTTCCGATATAACTTCCAATATTACGATTTCACAGTCTTTAGTTGTTGTAGTTGAATTCTAACACGAACTACTACAATCCATAGTTAACAACTTTATACACATCTGGTCACTAAAGAATAGGGGTGGCTATACGATCCGGTCCGGTTAAATTGGCCCGAATTGATCCAGTCCCAGTTCGGTCTCTTCGGGAATATAAGGACCAAAGATTGGATTTGATACAATCCGGTCTTGATCCGATCCGGTCCCAATTCGGTTTTGATTTTAGATTGAGCTTGTGGAATTTTAGTTGCCCAATGACTCAAAGGGTGAGGAGTTGGTTAAGTTTTGGGTGTTGGGCTCTCTTATCCGGTTTTCAATCCGATCCCAAATGGTTTTTTTACCTCAAATTTAAACTCGAAAATTGGATTGGATTGTTTGCTATTCGGTTCTGGTCCGGTCTCGGTACGGGTTATACTATCCGGTTTTGGGTAAAACCAAATAGCCCGGACCAAATAGCCAGCCTTACTGAAGAAGAGTAGAGAATACATTAGACTACCCACCAATCAAAACGGCACCGGAGACGTCAAAACCGGTCCGTAACGCACTCTGTTTATGATTGATAGAGACGTTGACGCCACTACTTTCGGATCATTGTCTCCACTCCTTTCTTTCCCAATCCCTAAACCAAGTAACCAACCAACCTATCCCGTGATTCAGCCGTCCTAGACTAGACTCCTCCTACCAATGTCCGAATCATTCTTGTTGAATGAAGAGCAATTTCCGTCGAACCAAAGGTAAACCCTGATGAGATGAAAATTCAGATTATGGATGGGGTTAATTAATTAGTTGATTTGGCACATAAAACTTGATACTCTTTGCACCGAATCAAGGATTTTAGACCCGCACAACATATACGAGTTAGATCATCCGGGTTGTGTATTCGACCCAACTGCCAACTGATCTGGTTATATCGACGATGTATTGGAAGGTCTCCGCTCAACACCGTAGTGTTGTCCCGTTACCCATTCCGGAATCAAGGATCCCGTGGCGTGGCTAACTAATACAACGTTGTAAACATTATGCCATGTACCCTCATACTCATGAAGGATTATCATGAATCATGAATGTTCGATATCGTATTATATATTCATCAGGTGATAGAAAAACTCATCACGATTGTTGTAGATTTATTTGTTGTTGGATATGAATAAGAGATCTTGAGTGACTTTTGAAAGTCTTTAATTATCAAAATGTCTCATTTTTCAATATGATTTAAATAATGGATCCGTTCAAAACTTATATGAAATATAACCAAAAAATGTATAAATTTAAAAAAATAATATAAAAGAATAGTTTTCCACGTAAATGTGCTTAAAATTATAGCATGGAAATCAGGTATCCTCCTAAATATATTTTCCTATAACCCAATATAACAATTGATATTCCACATTAGTTGTTTTGTATTTTATGGGTTAGATAGCTATCAGTATCGTCGATGTCACGTTGCACGCCTTTTGGGTTTTCTTGGCAGAGAACTACCAACCCATCCTAATTAACTTGTAGACATTTTTTTTTCTTCCAACACAATCTTCTTCGTTTTTGTTGCATAATAATGCATCCCACTTTGAATTTAAAATGCCAACTTGAAAGCAACCTTTAATTAATCTCTATTAACCATATATTTTTCAATTATTTTGCCATTCCCAATCAATCGATCTTGTTTACTACTATCTATAACCATGTTATGAATCAGAAAGTTACTCCACTAGTATAATATTAAGGGATTGATTAAGATGGAAGCGAAACATTAGAGTACTAGAAGAAAAGGTTCTATATGGATAGGACAATTAATGAATTAATTAGTTAATACCTATTTTTTAACGAGTATACATTGCATGTAGCCTGTCGAAGAGGCCAAATGATGTTAGAAAATAACATTAATCAACCGTTATTAGTGTATTTAATGTCACCTGAATCCACCTGGACTGAATTACTCGTGCAAATGTTACATATATTGCAACATATATCTCGTCACTTAATTGTTACAGAACCCAAAAATATAATACATCCTCACATTTTATGATACATTCATTATTTGAGGTTTATTGGACAGTGAATAGTAATTGATATAAAATTGAGTTGGGATGGATGAGAGAGGGAATTTCGTTCTATGTTAGTCATCAAGATTACATGCTCAGTTTCCCTATATAAAAAAAAAAAGATTACATGCTCAGTTATAAGCATCATTTGCTCGATTGGTAAATTCTTCTTCCCAAAAAGAATAAGAAAACAACGTAAAACAAGATCTTTCGTTTGTTTGATTCTCATAAGTCACGGCATATGAACTTCTTAAAAATAATATATAAGATACAAATGTTCTTAAACCATAGATGGAGAAAAACCTTCGTCACGAAAAAAAAAGGTAACAGGAGAGGAGAAAAGAGACTTTACTACTAATTTACTATTTGATTAAAGGGTAGGTAAAATTTTTAGCAAGAGGGCACATTATATCAACTATCAAGAACTTCTTCTCCCAAATAACCACACCAAAAAGTAAAATCCCAATAAAAATTCAAAATGGTAATAAAAGAAACAAAAAAAAAAAAAACATTATAGTTTCTTCAGTTTATTACAAGGAAGGGAAGATGGAAGCTGCAGCAACAGGAAGAACACCGCCACCACCACCACCGGCGGCGGCAGCGATGGGCCGGCCACCGAACAACCGCTTCCACTGGATCCTAATCACCCGGTAAACCCTCAGTCTCGCCGCCGACATGCTCAAGACCACACCTTTCCTCAGCTTCTTCAACGTCTTCCCTATCTTCACCTTCAACTTGCACATCCTGATCTGCAGAAACGACGCCGTCTTCTCCGAATCGTCGGCTCTTTGCATCACCTTGTAGATCAAGAACTGCGCCCGGCGGCGGAATACCTCTTCTGGGTCTTCCTTTTCCAGCTTGGAGTAATTGTTACCACCGTACGGCCGGTTCATAATATTACTGCACAATTTTTTATTTTTTTTTTACTGTGGGGGTAACAATTTTGAGAGAGAAAAGAAGGGGGAGAAACTGGAAATTAAGGTTTAAGTGTGGAGAGAAGAATGGGAAGGAACAGTATTTATAATGTGGAAGGAGGAAATGAGGGATGAAGGGAGAGGTCATAGTCCTAATCCTGATGTCAAAAGGAGAGTTGGATGATGGGTTTAAGCAGTCCATGTGCATTTAATATTAGTGTGTGATTAAGTGTGTTGGTTGGGATTTAAAATAATGCCTTGAGGATAGTCCCTAGCTGGCCTTACAATGTACTTTGAACTTTGAAGGTTGTTTCTCTTTCAACAAATCTAAAGACGGCTAACGGGATTTCATGTGATTCTGGTTTGATCTGATGTAAATATTGATCGAGTATGATTTATTTTAACTGCTATCTAACCATATTTTATTGTATTCCTAGTGTGGAATCAGAGAGAGTTTAATAAGATTGAATTTTTTTGCTTCGTCAATTTTCATAGTTTTTTTTTTATATCAAACCGTCAGATGAAGCACATAGTAAGGGTGACAAGCTAGGCATGTGCAAACTCAGAGTGATTCAAGTGAATTTGATTCTTGATACGATGTTAAAGAATCCGGGTATTTTATGATACCAATTCCTTACCGTTCTAAGTTATATATATCATTTGAGGAAGTTGTGAGTCGTGACGGTATATTTAAATAAGCGCCGTTAGATTATAAATTTTCTTTGACTTGACTGAGTACATAAGATATATTAGTAATACCGAAAGACTCCCTTCAAGTCGGACACAACGATTTGAAGGGTAATTTATGTTGAGTATTTAATACTAGTTTATTTTTAGTGCACTTTCTTTTACATTCTATTCCTCTCGCGTAGATATCAAATGTAATATAAGATAACCAAAAAAAAATGAATGAACTAACACGTGAAAATCATTTACAATCTACATTGTAAATTTAGGTTATATATATTCTCATAAAGACTCATTTTCACGAGTGCACCGCGTAAAACTCACTTCTACTTCGTACACACATTCTTCACGACAACCTCTGACCAGAAAGAAAGGAAAAAGGTCATGCAAACGGCGAAATTCTTCCCTAGAACCAGACCGAAACCTTAAGTTACAAAAGAGTGCATTTTACTTTAGGGTCAGCAACTTAATTATCTTTTTTAACTACTTGTTTCCACATCATTGACCATATCAATATTCGACTCTCTTCTTCATGTTGCAGGCGGCTTGGCGCTTTGCTGCTTTCTGTCCCAAACTTCGTTTCAACTTCCAAATGGCACTGATTTCACAGCAAAACCTTCCCGGCCGACTTGTCCCTTAATAGACGAGCGGCAACAATGCTACCAATTGAATATCAACGACGGCTACATATATGAAATTGAGAAGAAGGGGTCAGAAAAAAAAAAGTAGTCGACTGTGATAGAGCATCTTTTTTATTGGTATGTTCGGAGAACGATTTTTCAGACCGAATTGAATGGAACCCTAATTCCAAAGGGTTAACTGAATACTCAATCACGAACAGACGTATAAGATTTTTTTTTTTTTTATGGTTCAACATTGAGAAGGAACTTGTGGAACCTGTAGATATTTGGGGTGGTGGTATAGTCGTATAGATTAAACGTTGTCGTGCCGCGAACATTTGAGTAGTCCATTTACAAATGTGATCTATATGTAGACGCGTTAATGTCCTAAGTATGACACCTGATCAGTTTCATTGGCAAGATGTTAAAAGACAATTAATGTTGTTACGTCCGACACTCGAGCACACAGTCCAGTGACCCGATGTTTAAAGACAGTAATGTTCTAAGTCCGCGACACTCAGAGATCTTATATTGATCGAGTAAAATAGTGGATGATGAAACCACGTATATGGATATCTATGTATCTACACTTCTGGTGATGTATATGCACACGGAGATAATAACTCTAATGGATAGTGTGGGGGATAAATCTCACACACAAAAAAAAAACCTTATAGTTTTTATATCACTCTCTTAGAAGTCCCCTCAAACGAGAACGAGTTCAAATGCTTGAAGTTTGCGCAGGTTCACCATATCTTTGTGCTTTAATCAACTGATGATATAAGTAAACCACGTAAATCTATATTCTTTACGTTATTGTATTTTCGATTTCTATTTTCCCCGTCTCGACAGTCTCATATATGAGAAGTAATTGCACCGGCTGAGGCACGAGGTACGGCAGAATATTGCCTGGTTGGGACAGCAGCGTTAGTAAATAGCAAAATTAAAGAGCTGAGCTAGATAGCGCGTTACAGTGAAAACGTACGTACGACCAAACACATGCCAATTTGCCCAGAGAGAAAGAAATGGAGGAGGAAGCATATAATTAAGTGGAAATTTCCCACCGGCGTGGAACGCAAATATTCGCCCTAATAATTGTGGCCGGCGAGGGAAAGGGGAAATGGTACACTGAATGACGAACGCGAAAATAACTATTTACAAATTACAATGTCCGATGTTTATTCGGCCAGTTAGTTTTCAACAATGGCCGGCCAGACAGTTTCAATTTGAAGGATATTGTTTACAACCAAAATTTAGTTTTCTCGTCGGGAAAACAGATACTCAAGAGATAAAATTGAATGTCAATTTGATGTGCAACCGAGCAGAATGTAAAGGGAAAAGGGATGAGAGTGGGGAGGAGATAGAGCGGAGAGAGAGAGCTTTCTCCGCAACCCATTAGGTCATTTTTGTTTTTCGTGAAAAAAAAAATATCAATTGAAGTTAGGGGGTTTCTTCAACTAAGAAGGACGTGAGTCAACTATTCAATTAAATGACATTAAGCATTTTTTCCATTTCTTCTCGAGAAAGAAGCGGACTATTATTTTCATCAATCAAGGGTTGAGTTGCGATTTGGAATTTCGATTCATGTGAAGAAGAAATTTTACTTATTTCTGGTTCTAAGACACGAGAGTGTATACCGTGATTCTTTTGTCTATCAATAACTAACTGCATGTATTACGCGATGGATGTGAAAGAAGTAAACCATTATCTCGGCAATAATGGGCCCTTTTAACGGCCCTGTATTACAGAGTAATGACCCATTAAGGGCCCAGTATTGCGCAGTAATGACCCGCGCTCCCACAAAGACACAAAACAAATCTATTCCTCCCATCCTTCCGGTACCGGCCAATTTTCCCCGGTGCCCGCGGTCCAGTTTTCCGTTATTCCATCGCTTTCATTTTTCCCTCCCTTCTGTTTCCCGTGCAAACAAGAAACGCCGTCGCCGCCGCCACCACTCGCATCTCGCGAGAATGCAGAGAGCGCCACGACATTCTTGATACCTGCGCCGCTGCCCCCGCCGACCGACATCTTTCCGGCTACCGCCGCCGCGATTTCAATTCATCTTTTCCGCGCCGGCAAACGCGAATTCATACGTGAGTTTCTCTGTCACTTTATTACGCTGGAATTCCCTTTCTTCTTGCTTCAATTTATTTTTATTTTTCTTTTTTCCGCCGTCCGAATTAGGGAAGAGAATTTAATTTAGGAAGGTAGTTTTTTTTTCCCCCAGGTTCACGAATTTTACTGGGCATGCAAATTTGCTTTCCGGTCTCCTTTTACATTTAGAACTCCATCCACCTTATTGGAGCATTTCTGGTGAATGTATTATTGACAATGGAAGGAGTAAGGATGATTTAGGTTCAATTATACGATGACCTAATGACGGATTTATTCAGTGAAACGATTACTCTCTTCTGTGATTGCATCTTTTCCAACACATGTTGCAAACATTTGTTCGACGTAGAGAATCGTGAGAACCTAAATTTCGATTTTATCGAAGCTTAACGCCAAACAAAATGTGAATATCAACAATGTGGGTTAATCTTGTTCATCAGGAAGAGCAGAGGGGAGGGGGGAAGCAGCAGCATTTGAGTAATGTTAAATACTGATTTGCTGAGTTCAGAGAAATGTAGGCCTAGCTGTGGGCTCAGGATGGTGTAATTCAGGGAAACATAGGGCGAAGAACGTGTTTAGAATTACTTCGTCAATCAAGAGATGTTTGTTTTTTGTGGTAGAATTGGTAAATTGTGAATCTTCTGTGGCGATTTGTTATGCTGACTACTGCATTTGCCATATATGTAGATATATTGCAGGGGAGACTGCTGCTGCCACATTAATTGTGTGTGTGGTTGGAAAAGCGTTATATTTTTTCTCACTAATTCGGCTTCGAGATTGGAAATTCCGCCTATATATAAGCTTTCGGAGCCTTCGAGGCAGCGAGCAGCTCCCCCCCGGCAATCTAGTGAGGTCCAAGGGAAAAGCAAGCCCTATTGTGATCTTCGCAGAGAATAGGTATGTCTCCTTTTTCAATTTTTTTTCCTGATGAGAAGTTTGTATGTATCACGCGAATTTCATTTCGAAACATCTTATCTGGTTGCTGTTCTATATAGTCCTATACAGATCTTGTGTGATGTTGTGTTTGGTTTTGGAATTTCATGTACATTTGCACATAGTTTGTAGTCATCTGTGCTTCTGTTTTGTGCAAGAGAATCCCTTTTCATTTTCTTTCCTACAGAGAAGTTCGTATGTATTACGCGATTTTTATTACAAAATCTATAGATCTGGTTATTGTTCTATGTAGTCCTACATAGATCTTGTGAAATAGATTGTTATTGTTTGGAATTTCGTGTACATTCGCACGTAGTTTGTAATCATGCGTGCTCCTGTTTCGTGCAAGAGAATTGGCGATGGCAGATCTAAGTACCTAGTTGACTTTGCATCTCCTTCGATCGAATTCATCCTGAATGGATCTTGTGAAATATTGTGTTTGGTTTTCGAATTTCATATATATTTGCACATAATGCATAATGATACGTGCTTCTGTATTGTGCAAGAATTGGATATGACAGATCGAAGAACCTAGCTGCCTTTGTATCTCCTGCGACCGAATTTTATATAATCCTGAATCGATCTTGTGAAATATTGTGTTTGTTTTTGGGATTTCATATACATTTGCATTTTGCACATAGTCAGTGATGATGCGTGCTTTTGTTTTGTGCATGAGAATTGGATACGCCAGATCCAAGGACCTAGCTGCCTTCTTATCTCCTGACATTGAATTCTAAACCTCACCCTTTTATGCCTGTCTTTGAGTGTTTCACCTTTTCCTCTCTAATATTTTACTGTATAGGAAAAGAATTTACTGGAGTACTTTCTGTATATTACTATTCGGTAGTGAGGCCAACTATGCTGAAGTCTCATATTTCTTCGGTTGAGAACTCCTGTTTGGGTATTGATGTCTCTTTGGACAATTTTCCTGCGCTCTCTTGGAAGTTCATTAAATTCTTTTCCTATCTTCTAACACAAGAAAGTAGAGATTTGCACTAGACTTTCTTTAAGGCATGTAACCTGAACAAGCTCTTACTCTCTGGTTTTTGCATAACTTACTTGTATAGTTTAAGGACTGTTTATCAGTTATTTCTTTAGTTCTAACGATCCACTGGCTAGACAAAGGAAACTTTATCTCCTATTTTCATCGGGAACTCAAAGAATTCTTCTTGTGCATGGTGAATGAAGGATTTTGGACAACAAACCAAAATGAACATTCATAGATGCATTTCTGTTCTGTCAGATAAGGTTTCCTTTTAGTCCGCAGTTTTGAATTTTTTTTTTACCCCTTTAAGGAATGGATCATTTGTTTCCTAGATCATAATTTACAGGTCACTTGTTTGGGTATACTTAGGGACAGAGATTTGCAATAGCATGCAATCCAGTGAATTACAATGGAATACCAAATACATTCTACACATGTTTTGATCCAAGAGTTATCAGAGTTTCTTCCATAGTTTACTGTGCAAACACACAAAACCGAACTTTTCTTTGGTAAATACACCTTGCATGGTGGCGTGCGATTGCAACAAATAACATTCATTTACAAATGCACAAAAGCAAACCATGCCCTTAGGCAAGTATGCTTTGTCCATCTGTAATTAGTTGCTATTTCACCTTTTCAGCTGTTTTTTTTTTCTTTCTATCTTTAGCCGTAGGTCAAGACTTTAAAGAGTTATTCTGCCATCTTTTTTTCTTGCAGTAGTGTTTCTCAAACTTCAAGATGAACCCACAGAATAATCAAGGCTCTAGCTCTTCAGCACCAGTAGACGCACCTCTGAAGCGCAAGCGTGGTCGCCCACGCAAAGACGAGACCCTGCCCCAGGTAGAATCCATGTCTTCTCTGCTCGGAGGGTTCGACCATACGAGAAGAAACAACCTGCCTTTCAGTCTGAGCATCCCTAGTGGCAATAGCGGGGTGGTGACTGATCAGGCACAAGCTGGAAGCAACATGATCGGCCAACCAGTTTCCGGCGTAATTGATGGCAAATTTGATGTTGGGTATCTTCTCAAAGTCAAGATAGGTGACACTGACACTTACATGAGAGGAGTTGCATTTATCCCAGATCGAGTTGTTCCTGTCACCGCCTCTAATGATTTGGCCCCACAGGCGAGAATGTACACAAGGACCGAGGTCCAAATCCCGTCTCCGGCACCAGCAGCACCACTTCAGCCTAAGGTCCAGGGCTCTATTCCATCGTCGTCGGAGCGAATTGTAAAGCAATCTGCTCACCAACCCAACGCTGCTGCTGCTCAGCAATTCGCTCCAGTTATGCTACCTCTCACTGACAAATTCCAAGCAGCAAGTGGTGTGGGACCTTCTGCAGTTGGGAAAATGATATCACAGCAAGTCTCGGATTCAGCAGCTGCTTCCATTTCGATACAGTCAGCAAGTGGCGCAGTTTCCAAACAGGATGAGTTACTGCGAGAGTTTGATGCATCGACAAGAAAAGTTACTGATGAAAAAGGACCAGGTGCCCCCCCTGCAGCAGTTACCACCTTGGGTGTTTTGCCAGCCAACAGAACTGTCAGTCTCGATCTTCAAATCCAGCACCAATCCGATGGGCTTAAAGCTAGTCAATCAGCACCAGCCTTGGCCACAGATGAAGGGAAAATCACAAGCCTGGAGCACATCCAGCCTCCTCCTGCGATCAGCATACCGGGAAGTGGAATCTTCTCTTCTCAATCCATGAGCATGTGCTTAGGCAGCCCAACTTTCCCAGGGAAAGCTGCACCACCAGAGTTACCTTCTGCTGCCCCAAAGGTTACTACCACCGACACTCCATCCCTCCACCCAAATGGTGGTGCTGGTGGCCTTGTGGGCAACGTTGCTCCAATCCCCGAACCAGATGCTATGCCCAAGCCTGATTCAGAGGGATCTTCTGCTGCTCTTCAGAAAATACTGGAATCCCAGTTCGGCTGTTCATCTGTTGCTCCGATGGAGCTGTTCGAGAAAGAGAGTGCTGCTGCTGCCACAACTGAACCGAAGCTTGGACACAATAGTAACGTTCTGCCTGGAGTAAGTGAGCCTCAGCTCTGCAATGCTACCCCTAGTGCAAGTGTGGACTGCAATAATATCAAAGAGTCTTGAGGGGATAAAGCGTCATGGAACGATTTTATGGTGCTTAGGATAAGAGGAACTATGAATAAGTAAAGCTCAATGCTTTCATACATGCTGTAGTTTAGGCTTACCATTAGATATCTGAAAAAACCACAGCTTAGTTTTTCTTTTATTTTTTTTGTTTAATGAAACCGCAGCTTAGTTTTTGTGTCAATGGTCAGATGTTGGTTGCCTTCTCTAACCAAGATTTTTGTGTTTCATGCCTGAAAGTTCTTACATTTCCCATCCTCATGTGGGTTTCCCAGTCTAAATGTTCAATTTATTCGCTTTGCCTATTTCCATGGGGAGCAAGCATTTATGCACGGAATGGGTTACTTTCATTCTCTCAAATTGGTGGGCAAGGTGCGTATGTGCCTCAATGTCCATGCTCACCATATATAAGGATAAATCAAGTCAAACAACTAATGATTGAAATATGTTCAAGCTCTCGAAATCGTACCGAAAATTGTGCAATTGAATAATGTTTCAAAATAACATCTACATTATGCAAGAAGAATGGATAACAAGATTGAGGTAGATCATATATAGTCTTCCTGAAAGCCAAAAGCAGTAAAGCACAGGTCGCAGGCGAAACATTAACTAACATAATAGGACACGAACGATTATTCGTCGACTAGAACACAAACCCAAATCAAGAATAATCTGGCATAATATGAAGATCTCTGCATCAACCGAACAAACCAAGATAGAGACTACCGTCTCATTTCTCAATTGAACGAACCAATATTATACCTCCATACGCATGGAAAAGATAGAAATAATAGAAAACACGCTGATGTGTAGGATCACGCGTAATTGAGTGCTAGTTTCATATAGATATCAGCAAATACGTCTTATCACGAAATCCCCTGAAATCTGGTTCACTCACAAAGAGCTGCTGGTAGGGCACATAGAGACTCTGCCCCCGAGTCGGATTAGGTTTGTGCACCCTTTCACTACATAACAAGTTGCAAAAATGGCGAAAACCCTTTTTCAGGTCCTATGATTATACCCCACTTGCTGCTGCTGGGGTGGCTGCTGTTGGTAATTGGCATAAGCCGGGTATCCTCCATAGTACATGTTTGGGTCCTGGGGTGGCGGAGGTTGTGCGTAACCATAGTTCTCGTAACCTTGCGCATAGCCGTAATATCCACCAGCTTGGTCAGCAGCAGCACCACCATTCCACTGATTGCTGGCCTCAGACTGCAGTAGGAAAAAATGGACCAAGGACATTAGTTTATGCGTGTAACAAATCAAAACCAGAAGACTGGGGGCTGGAGGAAGAGCATTGGTTTCACTTCCCAGAAAAAAATATGTGAAGCTGATGAAACCAAGATTTCAGTTCAGATTTTGGTGATAAGAAAATTCAACCATACTTTGTTACATAATGCTCAGGTAGTTGTGGAAGTAAAAGATGAGAAAATGATATGGCATAAAGTTCAACATCAACAAATGACACACATGGCCTTCAGGATTCAACATATTTTGGTCATCTCATGTCTGGTTTGATTTCCGGTTAACTGAAATAAAATAAAAAAATCCAAATTGAAACCAATACCAACTCCGTATTGCTTAACCAAAACTATATAATTTAGTTCTATGGTTTGACCAAGAACCATTCCCCCAACCTAAGAAAAATGATAACATGTTTATTGGAAGCAAGTAAGAAAAAAGACCTGTTTGTTGGAAGAGTTGCGACCCCAGGAAAGTCGAATACTTTGACCACTCAGTTCAGCCCCATTTAATCTATTTAATGCTTCCTCTGCACAACTCCTGATGCAACGATAAAGAGATATTCAGTAACAGGACCACAGTTCCATCGAGACAATTGAGAAGAACAACGCATACCTATTGGCATACTGGACAAACCCACATCTTTTGCCTGCTGGTATCTTTACATGCACCAATTGGCCATATTGGCCAAACAGTTCCCTCAAATGGTCATCCGTGACATTCGAGTCCAAATTGCCAACAAAAATCTGTTTCGAAATTTCCACTAGTTATAAACTGTTGAAGTATATAACTCTCAACACTCAATAAGAATGAAACACCTACAGTTGTATTATTCGGGTCATTCTCGCTATCCCTCTGGGTAGAATTCTGAAATGAAGCTGCAAATAGAAAGCAAAGCGTACTCGAGAATGAAAAGAATGCAAAAACATCAAACTTGTCCAACACAATAAGCCAACTATATGTTGGTCAAAGGAAACTCCATTTCCCAGACCAACAGAAATCTGAACCGTCAAATAACTACTTGAAAAAAGTTGACCCAAGGTCAAGAAAGACAAAAACTAAAGAGCAATACAGAAGGCACCATGACGTACAAAGAATAAGCAATTAAATGGAGGCACGATCTAGTAAGACACTACAAGTGAACTCATTAGCTGCACACATAATCACCTTAGGCGCTCGCACTTCTACATGAACTCACCTGGCCTAATGGATCCCAAGCATCCAATAGCTGGAGACTTGTACCTGTGCATAAGGCTTGCCCAGGCACCCTCTTAGCACATTGCTTAGGACCAGCCTAAGTGAGTCCATGTATTAAAGGATAACCGATTCAGCAGAAATCAATTCCAGGCCCCCACAGTAGAGCCTCTCGACTCCCCCTGATTTTAGATAACAGGACTTCTATGAGTAATGGAAGTTTCCTCATCTCAATAGAATGTACTCTTCCGGAATATCAAATATGAAGCGGGGATAGAGGAAGGAAAAGACTAGGAAAGCTGAACCCGGCTCCAAAACCATGGTAGACTGTGTGAAACCTAAAGGTACACAGAATATCTCCCTAGGCTAACATACATCATCTAATAATTGGGAACCACATAAACAAGAGCAAAGATAACAAGGCATATAAAATGGTATCGACTACAACAAGATCAAATAATTGACAGGCATACCTCTCGGAGCCATAGTCTTCTTGTTAGAAGCTACCCCAACTCGCATAGGCCTTGTTGAACAGAAAACCCCATTCATCTCAGTCATGGCACGCATTTGTTCACCTTCATCAGTAAACCGAACAAATCCATAACCCTTAGTCCGCATAGTTGTTCGATCGATCACAACCTTAGCACCCTTCACGGATGGATAGCGGACCTTGAAAGTTTCCTGAAGCAAGTAATCTGTAACATCCGCTGCCAAGTCTCCCACGAATATGGTGTACTCTGGACCATCGTCACGCTTCTCCCCGGCCCCATAAGATGCCCAATTCAGCCTGAAGTTCTGCTCACCATTCGGCATAGGTGTGCCGTTGAAGGTTTGCAGTATTCTCTCTGCGGCAGCATGGCTGTTGAGCTCCAAAAACCCGTACCCTTCCGCTTGATTGGTCATCTTATTCCGTATCACTTTCACTGAAGCAACCTACAGTCAACGCCCGAAAAAAGAACAAGGTACCTTATCAGTTACAGAAGAAGGGAACCAAAATATTACTACAAAAGGAAACGTGAAAGCAGTCGCCATCTAGCAAAATCAGATCGAAACCAAGCTCTAAAACTCGAGGGGAATTAACAGATAACAGATCTTTTGCTCCCAGTACTATTCTCCTCTTCTATAGCTTACCTCGCCAGTGTGTGCGAAGCAGGAACTCAGATAGTTCTCGTCCATCCAGTACTGCAAGTCGCCGATCCACAAAGTTCGAACCTCGTCACTACCGCCGCCGTCGCCGCCCTGCTGGACTTGCTGCTGCTGTGGCGGCTGCTGCGCGGCCTGAGCCTGATGGCCGTTCCACATAGCAGCCGGCGGAGGCTGCGATGGAACCCCCTGAGGCATCATCATCATGTACGGAGGTTGCTGTTGGTATTGCTGCGGTGGCATCGCTTGCTGAGGAGGGATTCCGCCGGCTCCCTGCTGTGGCATCATCGTGAAATTGAGAGGAGGAGGATGTTATGCGGCGGAGGATTGGAGAGGAGCCCGGGATGGAAGAAAGGAAGAAAAAGAAAACCCTAACCCTAAAACGCACAGAGAGAATCTTAGCGAAGCAACCGCCGAAGATAGAAGAGAGAGAGAGAGATGCACCCGCCACAGGCTTTATCGGAGATATCCTGTCTATTGGAGAACGGGAAAGCGCGGAGCAAGGTTGTCAAACCGGTTTATACCGCTGTGGTGGTTTGGCAAGTGGAATGATACGACCGGTGGTATAATCAGTTTGTATCGGTTCATGCCGGTTTAAAAAAATGTGAAAATAATTAATATTCAATGTATTTAATCATATATAAAACATATTTGTGGAGAATTTAGTTATAATCCAACAAATATCATCAAATTTTAACTATTACATTCATAAAATGAATAATAAATTAATTTTTTTATTCATTAAATTTATTAAAAAAGATGTCGTTTTACTTACAATGCGTAAATCGATCATACCGGTCATACCGATGGTGTCATGCCGGTTTCATAACCGGCACAGGTTGAACCAGATTGAACCGGATGGCATGCCACCAGTATGACAACCATGCCGGGGAGTAACAATGAAAGCTAACGCGGTAGTAGCTGGCCAGAATCCAAATTAGGATCTGATTAGGATTGTTAAATGGGCCAAAGATAGCGGCCCAACTTGCAGAAAACAAGCTAGACAATTTTTCCTCATCATTTTGCGTTTGATATTTAACAACGAAGAAATTTGGGCCCATAATGGACTATGATTATGGGCCGAGCTTAGCTCCATATATTGGGCTTGCGTAACTTGGGGGGTTTATCGGATAGAATTTATTCAGCACACCGCGAAACCAGATTGGTACGTCGTAGCCACTCGCGATCTGATTCGTTAAAATGAGTCACGCGCGCGAAAAAGAACCATTAATGGAATATTGGGAGGGTAAATTATAAAGAAAATTGAAAAAAGTGAGCTGTCATAGAATCGAGCTCTCCTTCTTCAGCCATTTCTCGTCTTTCCGTCTTCTTCTGGCTTTACCGTCTCCCACTCTTCCCGATTGGCAATTCCGAAGGCTTCCAATCTCCGCCGATCTCTCGAATCCGACGCCAGCAACTTTCAGAAATTCCATCGACGGTTCGCCGTTTATCCTTCCGCCGCGCCTGGAACCAGATTTTGCCGTGACTGAGAGGCTAAAGGAAGGGAAGCAAGTTTGCTGAGAATCAAAATCAATGGCGCAGGCAGTTGAAGAATGGTACAAGCAGATGCCAGTCATCACGCGGTCGTACCTCACGGCTGCCGTCGTCACCACCATCGGTTGTTCGCTCGATGTACTTTTGCTTCTCCCTCCCTCCCTCCCTCTTCCCTTTCCTTTCCATGTCTCTGTTCAATCAATCTTCGTTTTCCGCTTTTGGAGTTTGATTTTCTTTTGATTTTCGATGTCGCCTGTCTTGAGATCGATTCGTGTGCACAAGGAATTTGGTTAATCGGAGACTGGGTTTTCTATTTCGGTTAGTTAATTTCTAGGTCTCTGAGTTAAGCTTCTGGAGTGGTCCGTTATAATGCCTATCATATTGTCATTGTTGAGATGTAAATTGCAGTGTGTTTTGGCGGTGTTTAGAGAACTTTAATGGCGGGAATTTGCTTGGAAGGTAATTAATGTTCTCGTTGTTTTGCTGTTCGCAGATAATAGCTCCTTCTCATTTGTACTTAAACCCGAGGCTGGTGGTGCAGAAGTATGAGTTTTGGCGCCTCGTCACCAACTTCCTCTACTTCCGGAAAATGGGTAAAGATTGATCGATCTATCAAAGTTTAGAAGTTTCATTCTTGATTAGGTTATCTTTGTCACTAATGATACCGGGTTTTGCTTTGCATATGACTCGATTTTATGAAAGGAAATATGTTCAAACATTTCCGAGCCCTATTAGGAGTACATAGATTCATGTTTGTGGTGCGAGAATGATATTCACATGACAATCGCCACTTAAACATTCGGTCGAGATCATCGAAAGGCCTGGTTACATGTAACGGTTATACAGTATAATTGGATAAACTACTTGGCATAGTAACTAGAAGGTGCTTTCGCCGGACTTTGAGCAATGAATACTGTAGCGATGATTTGGCTCATCTCTTCGTCCTCTTTGATTTTCCAAGTATGTTATGATTCTGAAGATGATTTTGTTTATGATGCCAGACTTGGACTTTATGTTCCATATGTTCTTCCTTGCGCGGTACTGCAAGCTTCTCGAGGAAAATTCATTCAGAGGGAGAACAGCAGATTTCTTTTACATGCTTCTCTTTGGTGCCTCAGTCTTGACTGGCATTGTTCTTGTTGGTGGGATGATACCTTACCTCTCAGAATCATTCGCCAAAATTGTGTTCCTTAGCAATTCCTTGACATTCATGATGGTTAGTTAATCTCTTTATTGGTTCTGCTTCTATTTTCTGGTCTCCTTGGGTAGCTGTTGATTATTCCTTCTGTAGGTATACGTCTGGAGCAAGCAAAACCCTTTCATCCACATGAGCTTCTTGGGACTTTTCACCTTCACAGCCGCTTATTTGCCATGGGTTAGTACTCAACTGCTGCTTTTATATGGCTTGGATCATTCCACTAGTTTGTTGAAATCTACTTATTGAACTATTGATTGCTTTCCAATCCTACAGGTTTTACTAGGATTTTCTGTACTTGTTGGAGCTAGTGCGTGGGTCGATCTGTTGGTAAGTACTACTGTTGCAGTTAAGTTTAATTTACACTTAGCCCTACTAACATAGTCACTTGTTGAACAATATAAATGAGTGAAGTATCGGCTGGAGAAGGTCATAAAGGAACATGTTGATACTTAAGTTTTTTTTTTATAAGTGAAGGGATAAGTACTTTTGCCAAACAAATGCATATCCCATATAGATCTTATTTTGTTCGTGGCAAATGCAATGCCGTATCTCCATGAACTTATTCAAGCGAGAGGTCTTAGTTGATGATGCCTATCACATGACTAGTTTTCGTCTCTGGCAGCCTGTTTTGTTTAGCTGTCTGAATCAGTACTTTTTCGTTACAATGATTTCAGGGGATGATAGCTGGACATGCGTACTACTTTCTCGAGGATGTATACCCCCGGATGACTGGCCGCCGGCCACTGAGAACCCCATCGTTCATCAAGGCCTTGTTTGCTGATGATGCTGTTGTAGTTGCACGGCCAGCCAACGTAAGATTTGCCCAGCCCCCTGCTCCTGAGCTTCACGAAGATTGATAGATGTGAAAGGACAGCCACCAAGCAAAATGTAGCTCCCCAATCGCCTCTTTCGCCCCTGCAAATACAGTGCTCAACCACCCTTTTAGTGTTTCAGCTATCTTGAGAGACCTTAATACTCTTTAGAATTAGAAGCCTTTAATATGTATATAGTATTTTGCTGTGCTTTGTGGCATTCTCTGATAGCTCATATCAAAGAGTCAATTGATTGAAATATCTGACAAAGTAACAATGACTGATTCCATTCTATGCTTTCTCCCTGTTCATTGCGGCACTGGTTATCGTCGCAGTTTTGAGCAAAAATCAGCTTGGAAGTATCTTCATGTCCTTTTATATCTTCTGTATCACAAAGGGGCTGTTCGGTAGTTCAGGGTTCTCAAGTTCATGAGTTACAGCTTTCGTCAATTCATGTACTTTGGAGATGTGATTTTAAGAATGCGAAGTCGAAACACGAAAAATCTGAAGTGCGAACATCAATGGACGATCATGTGAAGTCAAAACACGAAAGAAGCACACAAGTAATCCGGGCTTTGGCAATTTCGGCGATTTGAATCTCAAGCCAAGAAATGAGAGGCAAATTTATCAGGAACACATAAAACAGATTACGAATTAACAAACATGAATGCGATCCGAACTCAGCAAACCAAACCTCCTTGTACTACACTGACATAAAGTCCCCCGAGCTCTCAGAAACTAACTCGAAACAAAAGCCCTACTAAAAGAACTACTAAAAGATTTTTCTTCTACGTAATATTCTTTCCACTGCATACAGACGGTCCTTAGCAGAAACTAAAAAAGGCAACAAAAGGGAATTGGAAAAGGAGAAGAAAAGAAAAGAGAGAGGAAGCTTCTTCCCTTCAACAACCTGAAAGCCAGCGGTGTTGACAAACGCTTACAAACATTCACCGCTGCCATTATGGGCCTATTCTTACTACAGTAACAAGACAATCTGGGTTGTTTCCTTGGAACTGCAGCTGCTGCACCACTTGCGCTTGACCCGACATCACATTCAAAAGATGAAAAGGGGCTTTCAATGAAGGCGATGTGGTTGATCTAATGTGCGGAATATGAAAAAACCCATGGGAAAAGCAGCTAGCGTATCGGATGATACTGGGCCGATACTCTCTTCGGAGGCAGCTTTCGGAGGATGTACAGCACCAGAGCTGATGGCAGAATCTCAACCAACTGGAATTTTGTGAGGAGCAACAAATGTTCAGATTTTAGAAAAGTCCAGGACTCAATCGTAAAATGATGAAGAATTTACACGGAAGCAGAAGTCGGGTGGGTACCGTGTAGTAGATCAAGTTCAAGACTGGATGATCCAGAACATCAAGGGAAGCGTCTGCATCGAAAGCGGATAGAAGGACCTACCAAGAAGACAAAGCAATGGAATTTGCACATGAGTTACAATTCAACAGCAAATAAATGCCCTAAGATTATTATGTATTCTGATAAGGCAGGGAAAATAATCTATGCACGAGATGATAAAATCAACATTCTTCTGTACATTGAGTAAGCAAGGGATCATAATAACACTAAAGGCAGATGGAAGTTTATAACTTACCACAAAGCATCTGATAAGGAAGCATGTGAAGCAAATTGCTGTGACTGATCCAACCTGCAAGCCAGTAAATAGGGATCTATCTAATTCTTTAAACTGAATGAATGATAGAGAATCCTAAGGGGACTAAGTTCTCGTATATAGGGCAACTCGACCTTTTTATTTCAACTCCTGAAGCCAGACACAAGGCATGTACAAACGACCAAGTTCATTATCTTAATGACAAATGAGATGTATGAACTTTAGTAAACAGAACCAAACCTCGTGAAGCTTCTTCCTTCTCCCTTTCGATTCGATTGGGAAGCGCCTGAGCATGAAGAAGAGTCTGGAACCAAGACACACAAAGGTCTTTACTTATGTAAATGAAGAAACTAGTAGAATTCACTACCCACAACAGTAGCTCATCTATTTTCAAAAGCAGTAAGATAAGAAGAGATATTCACCTTCCTCCATACAATAGAAATCCTAATGCAGCAATAATGGATACCACTGGAGCAGTAAACATTATGCAACAAGTCAGTAACAATGCTACTATAAGGAGCCAAGAACACTATATCGCATAGCAAATATTTCAACCATAACAGAAGCTGAGACTGTTTATTTCTCTTAAGTATACCTGCAATGAATATCTTCCCAATCAACTCCACAACATTGTTGTCATTAACCCACAGGTAAACCCAGATGACAGCCTGATAAAGAATCACAATTCACAATTTTAGAACCCATTCAACCATCAACATAATCAGTAAAATAGATCAACAAACTGATGAACCCAATGGCTGAAAATTCAAAACATACCTGTATACAGTATATTATGGCATTTATGGAAATGTAGAAAACCCTAAGCTTATCTGTCGGCAAACTCCTTGCCTGCGATAAAAATACAGTATAAGTAGTCAGAGTTTCTTCATCTTGATTGGCACTTAGAAGGAAAACCCAAATGGAAACTAGGACACAAAAGCTACAATCTTTTTATGACAGATTAAGTTCCAGATACGTACACTAACCTGGTGATATATCTCAGCCCAAAACAGAACAAGCAGGGTGTATGTAGAGAAGAACAGGAGCCCGGGCAGATCCAGTGACAGCAACGTTAAGACCTATTAAAGGAGGGCATTTGTCCAAGCGAATGAGAACTATAACAACCATCAAACTTCCTCGTTCAACTCAAAAAAAATTCTATAGTCAACTGATTGTCAGGTGAACATAACAAGCAGAAGGTGAAGCCTAGAGCTGGATTACAGCAGCAACTAACCTTAGGATGCAAACCGAACACGTGCATGTGAAATCCAAACACCAGGGCTCGTACTGATGAACAGCAACAACAAAACCCCCAAAAATTGGTCAATCAATCAACCAATGACGCCAGAAAACAAAACCCCCCAAAGAATGAGCAAGAAAACATGACAACAAGAGAAGCTCAAAACTATAAGTTCACCACACACTGCTCACCTCCATTAACAATGAAGTTCATAAGGTGGAATACTTTCTGCGTGGTCCAGCCATACTCCGGCACTCTCAACTCGATCCTAATTAATTGAATCTGCTCGCCGTCGATATTAAAAAGAAATTCACACACAGATACGGCAACACAATCAGAAACTCGAAGCAGCAATCAAACTATCGAGGCGGCTACGGCAAAACCATAACCCCAATAAATGAACTCGGAACTAATCCAACTCGCTCCGATAGGAGATCACTAATTTGGCGCCGGGAAAACCATTAGAACCAGCGCCAGATTCGGCTCCGATAGGATAAGCGAGGGGTTTCCGAGTTCCGAGCGATCGAGAAACCAAAGGCTATTATTCACGCAAGGAATCGGATGAATCGAGAAAGCCATGGGGGAACTCACCAAGGCAATCAGTGAGACGAGGGCAAAAGCGCCGGAAAGAGTGTAGAAAATCCCGTCCTGCCACTGAGTGGACTCGTTGATCTCGTTCCACCACCCGCCGGCGAGCCCGACAAATTGCATCGCCGGCAGCGGCAGCAGCAGCAGCGGTCGCGTCATTTCTTCTTCTCGATTCTTCCAAAAGCGGCGAGGAATTTTCAAAAATCCCTTTCCCCTTCCTCTCCACCGAACAGAAAATCCCCACCACCACCACCACGACGCCCTCTCAATACCAACCCCACGTATTTTTCCAAAGGAAGAAAACAAAAAATCAAAAAGCGGTGAAAAATGAGATCAAATTAAATTTACGAGATTAACCTAGTAATGGAATGATTATTGGATTGATTATTGGATAATGGACACTACGGCAGTACGGCACCACCCTTTCCCTTCTTTTTACCGCTAATTGTAATTTTCCGAGACTGATCATATCTTGTCGACGTGCGGACAATCAATCACGTGGGCCAAGGCCCAAGGGATAGGGATAGGGCAAAGGATCAGAGATGCTGCTGACAATTTAAGCTTTGTTCTTCTTCTTCCCAAGGCCGATTTGGGCTCCTTGATCGGCCCTCTTAAGGCCCAATAGAAAGGATAGAGACAAATATTTGGTACACGTCTAACTCGAACGTGAATTTTCCATAAACAAAAACAATGACGTTTGTACGGTAAGAAGTATATAATTGGTCAACATTGGGAGAGTGAAAGGAGACGGCAGATTAATTGTTTAACGTTCAAATAATCAAGTACATTATTTTCCAATCATGGAGTGGCTTGCAGGTTAGTCGAGCTACTTTCGATTCTTTTTCCTATCGGCTCGAGTATTTAAAATTTCACGAGAAAAAAAAAACTCATATAGTTGAAGTATCGAATACCCTTTTTTGTTGTATAAATTACGTCTTTGGAATACCTTAAAAAGGTTTCTCCCATCATAAAAGTAGCTCACTTTATGCTGACCCTTAAGAGGTCGGCCAAACTTTTTGGCCTTCATTTTTCAGAAGCAAGTTGGTTACCTAAGTGATTGAACTACATACGTGATATAATCATAAACAGAATATTTGGAATTATATAAAACTAGAAACTCGAATATCATGTATTTAGTTCTATTCAAACTACATAGATACGTACTTTGAATCGTAGTATGCATGATTTCATATGTTCGAAGTTTCGACCGAATAGTTGTGGTGTTGAAATCCAAAGAAGGATATACCACAGTGCGTGTCTTATAACTACAAATTTATACAAATGTGCTCGAATTTATTCCAAGGAGAGTGTTGATTAAGTCTAATTTGTCCCAAATGAAATGCAATCGTTTAAGTTTTAGCCATGAGCATGTCCGATCTCCAATTGCATCAAGACTAACTATAATCGAACAAAGATAACATATAATGAACAACTCATTTATCTTGATTTATTGAATATCATGTCGTTTTGTTGATTTGTTCATTAACAACGACCAATTGTTGTGTAATGAAATAGTCAACTCAATGACAAACGAAGGACTGGACCTGGATTAATTTCAGTTTCTTATTTTGATAAATTGTGTGTAATTTGGATGCATGCAATCGATTTGAATCAATTATCTATCTTTCGATCTAGGAGTAAATTTAATTCAAACTGAAATTTGATCATTTTAGCTCTAACCTCTTACGGTAAACTTTTAGGGTTGGATCCGACTGGGATGGCAATGGGTCGGGTTGGGTCGGATTTTGCCAAATCCAAACTCATGGGTTTATCCGTGAAAAAAAACCGGGGTAATATCAATTGGGTTTGAAAAACTCAAACCCAACCCGCTAGGTATCCGCGGGTTCATGGGTACCCACGATTTTTATCGTAAAAAATTTATAATAACAAGTTTCTATCAAAATTAAAGTCAAATATCAATCTCTCAATACAAATTATTCATATATAAAACACCATTCTAGAAAATTAAAGCAAATCACAAATTAACTATACAAATTGTTCAACACCAATCTAGAAAACTCAAGAAAATTGAAGCAAATCACAAATTATCCATAAATAACATGATTAATTGAAAGCTTCTTCCTTTCAATTAAGTTTATCTACTCTCCACTCGATGACATCAACTTCATTCTACACAATTAGAAAGAAAAAATTAGACATGTCTCCACAAACATAAATAAGATTAGTTGTTTAGAATATTAATTATATCGAGAAAATTAATTATATGGGTGTGGGCGGGTACCCATGGGTCGGGTTTACCTAAACTGAAACCCAACCCGATGAATAGTGAACGGGTTTAAACCCAAACACGACCCAAAACTCGCCAACACGGATTTTACCCGCGTTAACCGGTTGGGTCGGGTGGGTACCTGTGGATTCGGGTTTTGTTGCCATCTCTTACACAATATCCTACTATTGAAGTCCGATAAAATTGATACTTCCTCTCTAAGTTTGCTGATAGGTAGATAAAAAAAACTACAGTGAAACTTATGTTTATTTTTTTATAAGTGTGATATAGATTTATTGAAGTCCGATAAAATTGATACTTCCTCTCTAATTTTGCTGATAGGTAGATAAAAAAACAACAGTGAAACTTATGTTTATTTTTTTATAAGTGTGATATAGGTTTATTTATCGTGATTAAGGTATTACTGAAAGGATTCGAATGTGAGACCTCCATATTATAAACTAGCGGTATTACCACTAGGCCACACCGAGACATTCATACTAATTGCTGCTTCGATTGGTGAGGAACATAGAATAGGACCAGCTTTTTCGTCACAAATGTCCATGGGTATTGATAACCACAAAACCATATGCCACCTCTACACCTATACTCCTTCTTTGGGTGGATGACTCACTGTTATATTATTAATTTTGAATTAGAAGATACATTGATGTTCACTTCTCACCATTTCATAGCTAACACCACATCATCATTCAATAGCTACTAGTTTACGAGTTCAGGATCCAACTTCAAGTTGTGGACAAAATCGTCGAATTTAACTTTGTCACAAATGCATCGTAAGGGAGCTAATTTTTTTTTTTAGAATGCCTATTGAGAAACTAGTCTAGAATTGTGACATAATGAGGAAGACATCCACCTCCTCATCTTCTAAAATTTGAGGGAATAGAGTTGAAGTTGAACTCCAAACTCAATAGCTAATTACAAAATCTTGAACCTCATAAGTGAATACACAATTTTGAAGATATAAAAGGATGAGAAAGAGAAAACCTTTTGACAATGTTCAAGACTTGGACTTTTTAATTTTTTTCCTTTCGATGAAATACAAGAGAAGGTGAAAGAGTAAGCTAATGGTTGAAGTACTGAGTCCGGTTATGGAGATAATTAAGATATGGAGAAGAAGGGAATGTTGAAAGGTCGAGATAAAAGTTTCAATCACGGGAAAAAGTGAATCTCCAACAATATTCATGATTCGAGCAATATATTAGATTCAAAATGATTTCATAACTGCAAACATTTTACCATTAAATATTTGCTTTGAATGACATACAATAGAAGAAATAAGATAATATTTATGACAGGTTTAGAAGTTTCATTAACGAAGATGAAAGCGTTGTTATTGGTTGAGATGATGTTGTGGTCATTTGCAAAACTATTGCAAAGAAGTCCAAAATAAAATCTGTAATAATTTCTGACAATTTAGAAGTAAATCAAAGTACATTTGATTAAGCTTTGCATGAGTTAATTTCCTTGCATTGTCCTCCTATTATACTCTTGGTGGTTGAATAGTTTAGGATATTAGAGAACCCTCTGATGTTATTTTTTCCCAATAATTGAATATTTTGAACTCTTTTATAGTATCAATTAAAAACTTATCTTAATTCGTATTATTGCTTTTTTGTTGCTTATGCAATTGATAAAATGCATTCGGTTAACGAACAGCCCAACATCTAATTTACATCCGCCAACATGTTCTGTTTGACGAATCACAAATCACAATCTCCATTTGCAGAATCGTGGTCTATACTCCAATCTTCCGAATAGGGGTGGGCATTCGGTCGGTTTGGTTTCGACCGAACCGAAATTATGAATATCAGGTCCCCGAATTCTCCCAAATCTCAAACTGAATTCGAACCGAATTATAATTCGGTTCGGTCGGTTTAAACCGAATTATAATTCATCGGTTTGGTTTTTCACACAAAACCGAATTTGTGAAGCTACTTGTATTTTCTCACTTTTAAATTATTTTTCACCCCTAATATAAATAATAAATATCAATTATATGCATCATCAATGATCAAACCAAACTTTTCAACACATAAGTCTTAAAACATTTCAAATATTTAAGTCTAAAAACAACTACAAACATAAAAATCCATCATTTGGAGCTTGCAATTATAGTATTTCGATTTTTCGATCAGAAATTCGGTTCGGTTGAAAGAGCCCTGATTTCCGAACTATCCATATTTTCCTTCCGAATTCCGAACCGAATAGCATTAATTCGATTTCGGTTCGGTTTGGTTTAGGTTTACCGAACCGTTTGCTCACCCCTACCTCCGAATCCCAATCTCCAATACCCTTGGGCCCAACCTGCCATCTCCCTTGGGCCCAACATTCCCATATCCCCTTCCCTAACCCTCCCGATGGGCTTCCCCAACCCGGCCCATCCAACCACTCCCCTGCTCCCTCTTCCCCCATACCCAGGACAGAGCTAGCTTGAAAAGACCCCTGGCAATGGAAATTCTACAACATCCCTATAACATTCAGTTCAACAATGTAAATCCCTGTTTTATATACGAGCGAGAGCAGCAAACAGCTCAGGGAAAAGTACTCAGAGCAACCAACTGCTCGGGGGAAAAAGGGTTTGTGGAAACAAAGTCAAAACGCAACTCTGCATGAGTGCAAGCATCTCTCAAACAAGAGCAACCCCCCAAAATTTACTGGGGCAACCAACTGCCCGGGACAAAAAGTTTCTCTCGGTAAGAAACAAAAGTCAGCTGGATTATTCAGAACTTTGCATGTATCCACCCCTTCAATCCGGTACGAAATCACTCTGCTCTATCGGTTCCGGTTGTTCTGTGGAGGGTCACCAGCTAGCCCGTGGCGTAAAATGCAGATCAGGAGCAGGACGAAGCTGATGATGCCGGCTTCTACGAGGTGCCTCTCGCCGTTGTTCTTCCAGGGAGCCCACGCCATGATGGCAGTTGAGCTGTATGCAGCAGCAAATAGCAAAGAGTGGTCAAGATTTTTTTTTTTTTGGTGAAAAACAGGGCGTAAAGGGCGCCCTAACCTTAATTAAGAACTGACAAACCGGGGCGTTTGAATCCCCAAAGTATCGAAGTACAACCAATATAGAAGAGTGCTACTCGGGTTATGAATCACATGAACCCCTATAGGAACAGAATGGCCAATGAAAGCGAGGTGGTCAGCCACGAAATTCGCTTCTCTGAAAACATGCTCTATCCTGACAAGCCAAGGCCGAGCTAGCCATTGGCGGATCTCCGCGACGCACGAGTAATGTGGATGCTGCGGTGTGGCTTTATCGATCAACGTCCGGGCAGTGCGGGAGTCTGTCTGTAGGACAACCTTCCTGATTCCCTCTTCCCAAGCAAGTCTCAACCCATAAGCAATCCCAGCCAGCTCAGCACGAGTGATCGAACCCCCTCCAAGGTTTGCTGTGAAAGCTCTAATTAGGTGGCCATCGTCTCCCCTCACGACTCCACCACAACTCGTGCTAGCAGGATTAAGAGTAGCCGAGCCATCGGTGTTAACACAGGCCCAACCACTCGGCGGTAGCTCCCAGTGTATTTCCCGCCTCTCTCGGAGTCCCCCGGCTCCGAACACGTTGCTCTCCTTCTCGAATGCCTTGGTGATCTGAGACCTTAGCTGTTTTGTTGTAAACTGGAGCTGCTCATGGGTTTTCAACTCGCTTCGAAACAGGTAATCATTCCGGTTCTTCCACAGCAGCCAGCACGTGCCTGCAAAAAGAGTACTGTCGATAACATTACTGCGGCCAGATAAGTAATGCAAAGACCACCTATGAAGCTCAGGTTCGAAGAAATTGACATCCGGTTCGTCTTCAAGAATTCCCGCCCAGGTGGCTCTCGCGAAGGGGCAATCACGCACGATGTGAATCGCTGTCTCCGGGCCCCCACCGCAAATCTTGCAGGCGACGTTCGTAGTCAAGTGGCGGCGAGCTCTTTCGGCATTGGTCAGCAGGCGGTTGTGGTTAAGTAGCCAGAGGAATGAGCGGACCCTCTGCAGAGTAGGCGTCCTCCAAATCGATCTCCAAATGGGTTGTTTAGTGGCCGGACTTGCATTGCCGTCCGTTATTTCGTAGGCGGTGCGAAAGGAGAAGCCACCATTCTCCGTCAGCCTCCAGTATCTCACGTCCGGCTCGCTCTCCGTCGGCACCGGGTGCAGTAGAACCTGCAAAACAATAGCACGAGGTAAATACGCATCCAGAAAGGCTTCGTTCCACTTACCATTGAGGACGAATTCGGCGACGGGCATGGCCTCCATTCCCTCCGGTAGATGCGGAGCATGGTCGCGGAGGATAGTGGAATCGTTCAACCACCTATCGCTCCAAAACCGGGCAGCTCGGCCATTCCGAACATTCAAAGAGTGGTCAAGATTGATTAACATACAGATGCAACAGGTAGCAGCAGAGTTCTAGTAAAGTGATGGCCAAGTAATAAACAGCTTGTCATCATCCAGCTCATAGCTACCAACCTACCAGCTTGCATTCTGTTCCCATGCATAGAGAAGTAATCAAGACCATTGAAGTATGAGAGTTTTTCCAAAATGTCACAAGGCAAAGGACCGTGTGACAAGGCACATTGGAGGGAATTTACTACAAGCACAGCAGCTATATACTATCTAGAAGAACTGAATTCTAACACTTTGCAAACTGAAGGGAAATGCGAACGATCATGAACGAGAGAGCTCTAGCTAGCTAGGATCCCATTCGAAAAGATCCTCCTCAAATGTTATCTTCCAATTGAACAGTACAATGAACAGGCCTTACCAAATGTAGAATCTAGCAGCCTCTTCACCACTAATCGGAGGCTTTGAATTGAGACTCAAATGATGAAGTCCCTAACTCAGTTAGCCAACCAAGGCAAATGGGGATTTCAGAAGAAAACAGCTCGAAAAGAGTGGATGAAGAAGATATAACGTTCATGCTTAGTCTCAGCTTCTCTTAATCCCCTTTTAATCAAATAGTGATGTGGGCTTAAACAGTAACTTAATTAGCCTTTCGGACTTAAAGAGGCCCACCAACCTTGATTAGGCTTGAGTTAATCCGAAAAGAGAAAGCCCCTAGTTTAGAAGCTTGAACAAAAACAAAGTTCAGCTATAAGCAAGAACACAACCATCTACAGCAAGAACAACAACAAGAGAACGAGACAAAGCAATGTGGATTGGCTTGTATTTCTGCCCCATAAACCCTAATAGGTGAAACTAGCTATAGCATACACAGATTTCGCCGGATTAGCAGGAGCCCTCGCTCTCCCTCTATCTAGATTCTAGAAACTCTGCATCTAATTAACAAAAAGAGGTAGAAATGGCTTACCCAAGCAAAGCCGAAGTTGCGCCGAGCTGCACCGGGAATATGCACGCTTGACTCACGAACAAAGCGTAGAAACAGAAACCCAGTAAAGTGTAGGGTGTGACATCGGCGTTGTAAATGAACTCATTGATCAGAATCCCAAACGCCATCATGACCACCTGAATGGAACAGATCCATCCCCACCTCTGAGTAAACTTCCAACTGCCCTACTCCCTGTTTGGCTCCATATTGAGCAGCTTGACGACGACAGCGAGATGGCAAACGAGCAGGCACGAACTACCAGCGAGCCACCAAAACGCTCTCCCATACTCATAGTCTTTGGGTCGCTTGCATACCACAAAAAACACGAAACCAATAGAAGCAAAAGACAACCAGACCCAGCAAACCATACCAGCGGCACTTTTGGCTTTACAGCTTTCCCAGAACGACGGTGCTGGCACAGGCGACCTTCTCTGTGTCCCGTCCATGGACCTCATCGTCCAACCTTGAGAGGGAGAGCGATCAGAGATTGCGAAATTTGCTTGAGCTTTCGGGAGAAACCAAATGAGAGAAAACCAATCAGGGGAAGGGGAATCCGCCCCCTAAATCTCACCCCTAAACCCTTCCAGCTGTCTCTGTTGAACTGGCAATCGGGTTGTCCGGTCACCGCCATGTATACCAGAGAAGAAAAACCGAAAAGTTGTGGGAGAGAGACGAAGAGACAGTAAGTCGGTACCTTCCCTATTTCACCGGTAACTGTGGGTTATTTTATTTATTTATTTATTAATATGTAGGTTTTTTTTATTTTATTTTAGTAATAAACATGCCAATGAGTGGGTAAAACGGGGCGGGTAACCTACGTGGAATGGTGGATGTATTGGAAGCAAGGTTGGTTTAACCCGTTGGCCCGATCGAAAGAGTGAGTTGAGGGTTAATGGTGTAATTGCTTTAGTTTGATTTAGTCCGGACACATAAAAAAATTATTTTATTGTGCAACATAAAACATTTACATCAAATCTCATCTAATATATGAGTCATAATATATATGGTGAAATCCAAAATAACAAATTTTACTTGGAAGTTGGATCCAACATATGGTGAAATCCAGGGGCGGAGCTACTTTGTGCCTCGGGGGCCGCCCCCCCCCCCCCCCCACCCGCGAGAATTTTGGAGATCGCGTGTGAAAATATCGAAAATTTTGAAAATTATGAAGAAGTTAACTATTGTAGAATAACAATAACGTACAATAATGAGTAAGAATGTCTAGGTCTAGTCTAACAGAATGCAGCAGCTGCTTGGTATTTGTGAATACCCAGTACCATGGTTCAATCCCTAGCAGCAACATTGTTTTTTTAGTTTTCCTACTTTGGTTGAGTTTTTATTTAAAATTTAGACTGATCACTTAACTTTTGTACTTATTCAAATACTTTTTAAATTCAAAGTTCAAACTAGATAATGAAATTTTGGAGCTTATAATATTTTTCTAATTTAGATAGTTAAATTTTGGAGTCTAGATAATTAAATTTTGAAGCTTATGACTCATAATGTAATATATTCTTACTTTTTTTTACGGATGTTATACAATGAAGTTTCCCCCCCCCCCCCCCCCCCGACCACTGGATCCTAGCTCCGCTTCTAGTGAAATCACCACACACTTAGATAACATTAATATTCAAAATGTTCACTTAGAATCCAAAGATAGGGTTAGGAGTAGGGATGGCAATGGGTCGGGTTGGGGCGGGTTTTGTCAAACCCAAACCCATGGGTTTATCCGCCAAAAAAACCCGGGGTAAAACCCGCTGGGTTTGAAAAACTCAAACCCAACTCAACCCGCTGGGTATCCGCGGGTTCATGGGTACCCGTGGGTTTTTGTGGTAAAAAATTTACAATAACAAGTTTCTTTAAAAATAGAAGTTTACATCAATTTTCTCATACAAATTATTCATACAAAAAACACCAATCTAGCTAGAGCATACAAGCAAACCGCAAATTATCAATACAAATTGTTCAAAATTAAAGATAAACATCTATAAACAATAAGATTAATTGAAAGTTTCTTCCTCGTCAACTAAGTTTCTTCACTCTCCACTTCATAATATCAAATTCATTACAATTAGAAAGAACAAATTATACATGTCTCCACAAACATAAAGAATATTAGTTGTTTAATGAAGATATATTATTTAGAATATTAAATATACCGGGAAAGTAATTATATGTGTGTGGACGGGTACCCATGGGGCGGGTTTACCTAAACCCAAACCCGACCCGGTGAATAGTGTACCGTGTTTAAACCCGAACCCGACTCAAAACCCGTCAACATGGGTTTTACCCGCGTTGACCGGGTTGGGTCGGGTGGGTACCCGTGGGTTCGGGTTTTGTTGCCATGCCTAGTTAGGAGAAGAGGAAAACCAGAAAAGAGGCTCATTTCCCAAAGCAAAGTGAAAAAAACGACATGTAACGTCCAACCCGGTAACCTTGCAGCGGGTCAACTCGCCTGGGTATGTTTGACCTGTTTTTCTCACCGGGTGAAGGTCAAAACGGGACGATCGATGATTGGAAGTTGTATTTGGCTATGGCTATTTGTTGTACTAAAATTAATATAATTGGTCATAACTTTAATATTCAAATTACACAATTAGGAGTTGGCAAAAAATTCTCACCCAATAGTAAAAGACATTTTGAGTAGGGAAATCGGCCCATTCTATGACGGCCTTCAGCCTCCCGAGCGCTGCGCCCTCCCCCCGGCTCACGGGCTCAGCCTTCCCGTCGCCGCCATCACCTCCGCCCCTGCGTTGCTGGAGAAGACGGAGAGCCGGAGAGGAGAAGAGGCTTTCCCGTTCGTCGCGTCACACCTGCTTGTCGCGGAAAACGGTGGGTGACGCCACGCCACCTCCGCTCAAACATTATGTCAAACGCGAGTCAAACCGACCGCCAGACTTAGTGTAGCTACTGTTGACCGTTTGTAGCAGAGTTTTGATCGATATTCTCAATAAAATAAGTAGAAATTATATTATTTTTTTTTTGTCAATAGAAAAAAAATGAAATGAAATTACAAAAAGTCAAATAGAAAAAAATTTTGGTCAAGCGAGGGTCAAACCTTGATTTGATCGAGGATCAATCGTAGCTAGTATTAAATAGAGTTTAACAGTTGACCGGTCCTGAGTTTTGACTTTTACTTCTTTTGATTGATGTTTTATCTGAATTGACCCACTTTTCGCTTGAGCCCTTTACCGCTATTTCACAAAGTTATCCTTGCTCTATCGACGACACCCAGTGGTGGATACATGCATGTTTAGGGTATTTCGAGACACCTCTAAAATTCGAAAACACGATAATTCAACATCCGATAGTAGTTTGTATATGAGAAAAAAAAATGTTTAAGTGGTAGTGAGGCATCCTTAAAATTTGAGAAAAAGATTTATCCAACCTCCCGTAGTAGTTTGTTTATTGGTACAAATAATATTTAAGTAGTAGTCTATGTGATTTAAACTTGGAACAACGCCACTATTAATAAACATATTTTTAATTACACTACAACTCATTTTATTGTGTTTTAGATTCAAATTATTTTCAAAACCTAACGATTAAATCCAATTATGGGATACCCTTGTCTAGTAGGATATGTCAAGAGATATTTATTGAGCATTATAGACACTGAATGTATTTTACCATTTTACAAAACACGTATGAACTTACTTTTAATATAACTTTTATTAGTAAAAATATTTTCATATTTAATAATTATTATATTTAATTTAAATATTTAATTTAATTTTTAAAAGAGGACACCGTACTCACGACACCGGTTTACATAGACCTTAGAATTTCGACCGTTGTTTTGAAATATTGATCAATGCCAATAGGGGAAATTCTGCGCTGACTTCTTTCCTTTCGAGAGGCAATTCTGATTTATTAGAAAGTTTATTCCAACATGGAGTTTCTGTCGCTCGCCGGTAAACGATAACCTTAACTCAGGTTGAGGGACTGGTTTACGATTCCTGGTCGAAGATTGACCCGACTTTGGATTGACTGGCAGAAAATGGAAGGGAAGAGAGTAAGAGATGGTTCTTGGTGGGAATGTTAGTAGCTCTACTTGCATCTACGTGTTGTGCAGGGCGGAGTCAGGATTTCGAGATCGGGTGGACCAAAAATAGCCAAATGTAAATAAAAATGAAATAATTATTTTTAAAATCTACAACGTTCTTTGAGATCATTGAAATCTCTCAAAATAGCATCTGAACTAAAAATTTTAGCTATCTTTCAATCAATATAAATTACTAAATTATTAACAAGAAACTCATCGTTTATTTTGTTTCGCAATCTATTCTTCACTATCTTTATACCTGAAAACATGCACGATCACATGTAGTTTTAGAAATTTAGAAGAGTCAGAAGAAGACAAATCACCCTATCAACAAAATAAAATTTCTTTGACACTTAACTTTCTGTTCATTCTGACATAGATAAAAAAATAGATCATATAGTTTGTATAAAGAGCTAAAATTCCCAAGTGAACTAAATAGAAGTTGATTTTTTCTTTTGTAGCTCGATTAAGGTAACAAAAAGAATGAAAAGGAGTGGGTATCATTGAACCGGTTTGTTTTAGCCTAAAAGTTTAAAGAAAAAATGAGATTGTTGTGGATCAAACCTATTTGCTTTAGGCTAACAGTTTAGTTTAGCTACCAACAAACTACAGAATTGTTATACGATACAATGTATAGGTCGAGCACTACATATCCAAATTTTATCTAAATATTCTTACGGTCCTGGAGCCGAAACTATTTTCAGCCCACCCTACTATCTGAGTAGCTCCGCCCTAGGTGTTGTGCCAGAGCCCAGAGGTAATGGTGGTCGGTGGATGATGAATGGTTCTGGGTTACATATTTTTGTTTACTCAAGTTTATTACTGGTGGGTGGTGAGCAAACCAACACAGGCCATTAGGGCTGAAAATTGGCCCGACCGGCCCTGAAAGGTCAAGATGTATTACTGATCTGTTTCGTCTTTATTTTTTTTGTGACCCTGTATGATGCTTTAGGGTCCGGTCAGTGGGTCGACCCTAATAAATACACTACTTTTCTGAAAATTACAATTGGTACACAAATTTATTTTTCTTACATTTTAGTACCTAAATTCTATTTTTTACAAATAAGTCCCAAAAAATTTGATGGTAAAATTACATTTTGGTACCAAAAATTATTTTTTTACAATTTAGTATCTGAACTTTTAAAACTTTACAAATAGGTCCAACGTGTTTGTATGATGCTAAGGGTAATAGGGTCAAAAAGTGACTCGACCCTAAATTGACCCAACCCTACCTGATCCGACCATAAGCTGACCCTGTAGACAAACTGACACAACCCGATCCTCAGGGTCGGGGCGGGGCGGATTAGTGGGTTTTAAGGGTCAAACTTACACCACTATCACAAGGGAGGGATGTGAGGATAAGAGATGTATGGGTCGTTTGGATGGATCAATCTAGAAATGAGTCAATTTGATCAATTGTCTCGTTTATAAATGAGGCAATTAAAACGAGTCAATTCGAATTACCTGCCCCACCCCAGGTAATTGAAATTGACTCAAAATGGATCAATTCAAAATACCTCAGGCAGATTGATCCATCCAAATTTTTTTGCTGGCAAACGAGGCAATTTGGTACAATTGTCTCAAAACGAGACAATTGTGTCAAATTGATCTGTAACAATTCCTCATCCAAATTGACCTGTAACAATTGTCTCAAAACGAGACAATTGTGTCAAATTGATATGAGACAATTGTGGTTGTAATTATGTGATTTATTTATTTTTTTCTAAATTAAAAAATAAATTGTAAATGTAAAAGTAATTAATATATTTGTGATACAGTTAAATAGTTGACTTTTTTCATGTCATCAATATCCATCCGACTCATAAATGGGTGTGTCACATAAGAATAAACACAAATTTGATTAGGTGAAAAGTTAACAATTTGACTATTAAATTATTTTTAAAAGATTTACCTATTATTATTTTTAAATGAAATGTTAGGCTCATAAGTTGTACTTACCCTATTTCATATTTCAAAATTTTGGTTAATATTTTGCAATATTAAAAAAATTGGTTAATATATTACGGTTTGCAGAGGCGCGTCATAAGAAAGCCCGACCCCAACCCAATCGATTCGGCCAGTTTCCACATCGCAGCCGGTATTATGGACAGAAACGCAACGTCATTTTTCTTTGGGCTGGGCCTTTCTCTTGGCCATCCTGGGCGCGGAGAATAGACAAGATGAACGGGTCCTTTTCAGTTTTCACTTCCAAGCTGGACACTCGTTATGGATAAAGATTTATTTTTTGTATAATTTTTTTTTGAATAACTAAGAGCCTCTTACTAGGGATATTAATAAGCCGAGTTATTCATGAGCACCTCGGTGTTCAACTTGATAAAAGTTCGTTCGATTCAATGAAAGCTCGATTTGTTTATTAACGAGTCGAGTTTGAGCTCAACCTTGTTCAGCTAGTGAGGTTCATGAACTAGCTCGATAAGGTGGCTTGTTGAGTTCAACTCATTAACTGTTTCGTTTTGATCTCTTGAGTTGTCTCAACATTGTGAATAGCGAGCCAACTCGACTACAACTTATAAGAAAATCAATCTACACCTTATGAGTTAGTTTGTTAATGATGTATAGATTTACTAAATCATATATGTCACCTTATATGATGTTTAATAATTTAAGTATGCAAGAAAATATGTCTCATATATGACATGAGATCAGTTTATCACATGTATCGTATATGATATATAAATATTAGAGTATTTAATTTTTAAATTATCTTAGAGTTGAGCTCGAGCCAACTCGTGTTAGACTCAACTAAGCTCGTTCATAAATGAGTCGAGCTCGAATTGGCTCATTTATAAAAGAACCAAATCTGAACAAGACAAAGCTCCGTTCCGCTCGACTCATTAACAACACTACCTCTTACTAAAGGGTCGAATATCAAACCGGAAAATTGACTCATTTTTTCTTGGAGCTCGATAATCGGCGATTAGGGTTTTGCATGCGAGTGCTCCTTGCCGACGGCGGAGATGGAGGTGAAGACCCCTACGGCCCCTGATGACACGTGAAAGTTTCTATTCTAGACCCTTGTATTGTGACCAAAAGTGTTTATATTTCCCATCATTATCATCACAATGCATTGGATTATTGTTGTGATTGCTTCAAGTGCGTTATAGCAACCCTAGGATTGCTTTTATACAACTGATGCCATTTTGGGTAGCGTTCAGAGCCGAGCAGTCTAGTGGGCATCAAGCCCAAGTCGCTATAGCAAGGATTCGAAGACCGGACGTAGAGGAAAAAAGGTCCCAACGGCGCTGTTTTACTAAAGAGAAAAGGCGGACGTGACGCCGTTTTGGGAGAGATGTCAATTTCATCAGGAAGTTGTCCAGGAGCATCCTGATTTGCTGGCCACAGGTTTGGAGGATTTTGATTAACCGAACGATGTAGTTGGGGCGATTTTCCCCTTAGAAAGCGTAATCGAAGATATATAAATAGAGCTCTAGAGCTAGAGTTTGGAAGGAGGAGACAAGAGGTCAAGGAAGGGACGTTACTCTACTGACAGAGTAATCCTCCTGACATAGAGTGACACCACCTCAAGGGAGAATTGGTGAAAAAATCAGCACCAGTGGGCCTACGGGTCATTTGGATTAGGTAATTCAATGGGGTATTTCAGCTGAAATAACTCAGAAGTCAAAATAACTTGTTTAGCAAAAATAAAATGAAATGTGATATTTTGTCCATGAGATAATTGAAATAACTCCTTGTGAGTTATTTGAAATACCTACCCACCCCCTAGTTATTTAAAAAAACTCATCTCTCAACCTCTTTTTTCCTTCCATCCCTTCTCTATGTGGTGAAATAACACAATATTTGAATATTTTATCCAAACAAGACAATTGAACAAATTAACACATTCCAAACTAAAATACCACATGAAATGTCACATAGCAAAATGATACAACATTTTGATTCGGAATACCACAGAACCAAAATGATGCATCCAAACGACACGTAATTTTCTTGTTTTGGCCTCCTCTAGTCATCATTTCCAACGATGAACGCCCAGGAGACCCTCCCATGATAGGCTAAGTTCCTTAGTTGCGTAGGTATATGAACCCTAGCAGTTCTAGCCATGTAAACTCGATGATTTGGTTAATACAATTTTTTGATTTTTATATGTGTGATGCTTGATTTTCTATATTTTGTTATTTGTTGATTCAAATGATTGCCTAGTCGATCTTGCACTCTTCGAAGAGCAAAACTCAAAATCCTAGTCACTTAGAATGAGACTAGAAATAGCAGTCCTACTCGATCGAACTCATTTGATCAAATGGTGTGTCAACTCAATGAAGATATTCGAATGAACCTTGTCACTCATTAGTTCGGGTAAATGATTCGACACAAGGTGGGATATAGCAAAATAAGAAATTGGCAGCTCGTATGCTCCGATCATCGAGGGCGAATGGTTAGGAAACCTAGGGGAAATGACACCTATGAAACGCTTTCCTCTCTGGTCTCTCACATCTCCAGTAGTTGGATTTAATTTTTTGCACTCTTTACGTTTTGAATGCTAAGTTCTACAAAACCAAAGAAATCTCAACCTCCAAAATCGACATCTTATTCAATAGAACCGTACCTCGCTGGATAGATGCACTTACATTGGGATCTTATTTGTTCATTCTTCTCTTCTTATTATGTTCGGTTGAGATTAAATAATTATGTAACATTTGATTTTGTTGCAATCCAAGAATATAGAGTCCCTCTCATCTTAAAACTCTTCAATCCGGAACACAGAGTGAAATGGGTTATTCTTTTGGAGTGACCCAATTTTCTATTATTTGCTTATATGTCCTGAAAATTTACTATTTCATACCCTTGACACGAATGACGAAACTAAATCAAAATATTAGGAATTGGACAAAATTATCTTCGAAGGAAAAAAAACCAACAACAGATGAAAGTTATCTTTCTCTTGCATACTTAAAAAAAAAAAGGCAAAGAAGTGTGTGCGATTAGAAATTTACTGCTATTGCATTGGCAAGATTTTCAGGCCTATCTAAAACCGGAGCAGAAGAGAATGCACAGAAAACGACGATCCCACAAGGCGCCATCGTGACTAGCAACGGTGCCGTGCGAAATCCCAATCCACTGTCACGTCGAGATGATGTCCCGTGAAGGAGCATTACCACATTGCAGTAAGCAAAAACTTGCATTGCTAATGCCACCATCATATCTCGTGCACCATAATCCAAAACCCTCCATCGAATTTTAACAAACGTGTGGATTTTGATATTTAAGAATGTAAGCCCAATCATAATCCACAGATCGACAATGCGACGATCATCGTCGGATCTACAGTATCCGACGACGATCGAGACGAGGATGACGAGGATCAGGTCGGCGGACTTGGCGCAGCGCCCCCACGTAGAGTCCGGAGCCTTTGCACCCCAGTGAATGGCAAGTTTATTTGGGAGGAAATGAAGCAACATGAAGTAGATTGCGGAAACGAAGATGAAGATTGTATGACGACCGAGTTTTGCCAAGTCCGGGAATATTGGAATTGATAGTACAAATAAACCCGGTACTTGGAAAAAGCAAATTAATGACGGAACATCCCATAACGTGAATATTGGTGTCTTATAACCACTTGTGTTTTGGGCTTCTTTCTCTTCTTCCCCTACCAATAATGTTATGGCTTCTTTCTCGTGTCTCACTTCCATAGAAATTAGAGATGATGAGTACAAGCTTAAGGAGAGGAAAAATGGTTACTGACAAGAAAGGATTTCAGGCCTGAAATCCTTTCTTTTCAATTAGTTAATAATAGTTAGTGACCGTAAAGCTTACACAATGATTTCGCACTTTAGTGGAAGACCTGAATCATAGACTTCATTATTTACGTACGTTCTAACCGCACAAACAAAACAAGGTTTTCCTAAAACATCGCATTGTTGCGTGTAAGACTCCGATTTCTCGAACCGATAAAGCAAAAATCTTAAAAATAGGGTTCAAATTTTGTTGGGTATAAAACAAAAGCATTATTAATGAGGACCAAAGAATGCCGAAGCATGTTTATTGAACTATAGTACTATACTGATTGAGAGACTGTCCGTTGCCCAAGTTCAAAATGAGCGAGGAAATTACCTCATACCGAAGATTGTTTGGCGAGCTGGAGAGACTCGGTCTGTAGTCTCGTAGTTTGGTGATCTATTGAATAGCAGTCGAGTAGGAGGAGGTCATGGAGCGGGACAACTAACCACTTGGCCCCAATAATTCGAGTTGTTGTGAATGAGATAGTCAAGCTTTTTAACCTCTTATATGCCCCCTCAAGTGAAAGCCGATGCCGAATTGTGGATTGTTTTACGATTTGCACAGGTTGAATCCTTGTGCTGCCAAACCACGAGGCTTTAGTTTGCACAGGTTGGACATACCATCCCTTGTGCTAAACAAATGGCTGATTATGTGGGTCGTCATGAGGATTCGAAATCAGGATCTTTCGTTTCTAAGCTCTGATACCATGTTAGCGAACTAACCACTTGGTCCCAATAACTCGAATTGTTGGGAAAGGAATAGTTAAGCCTTTTAACCTCTTATAGAGTCATCGGTTCGAACCTCATTTGGATCAGCTTCTTTTCAAACTCCAAAAGTAGTTTTTTTTTAATCTCGTTATCCGTCCGTCTCGATAGATGACTTGTTATTAACTGATCAAAAAAATTTCCATCTCTCATCAAGGATCTGTGACAGACTGTCAATCTAGAGAAAAAAATACAAGGAAATTACGAGATCGGTTAGCTTGCCAACCCCTCTAAGGGGTTGGAAAAATTACACCACTAATAATTATAGTTATTTTTTGTATTAAATTCGTGTTGCGTTTAATAATTTTTGAAAATTAAAAACTCATATTAATTACTTAGTCCAAGTAATTAATTCCTTGTCCTTCAAGTCCCTTGTTTTCTTGTTCATGTAAAAGAAGGAACTTGGTTGTCATTAGGGTTTTAACCCTAAGTCTTCTCTATACAAGCTTAACTATCAACTTGTGTGATAGCAAGTCGTCACGATGTAGTCCTCAAATAATAAAATGTCAGTCGTGAGCTCTTTCGGGCTCGCCGTGGATTAGTCTCGTTCAATCATGAACGAGTATACCACGTAAAATCTCTTGTCTTGTGTTTTTTTCAATCTTCCGCATTATGAAATTCTACAATTACATTCCTTTTTTTGAACTACCATTGTAATGATACAACTATCATTATATTGCACCTGTACACTAAACTCATATTAATTACATTCTTTTTTTTGAACTACCATTGCACTGATACAACTATCATTGCACCTGTACACGGATATTATTGCACTGGTACACCTACCATTGCACTGAAAAAGGAAAGTAATTAATATAGATTTTTAATTCAGACAGATTATTAAATGCAACACAAATTAATTATCTTAAATCTATAATTAATAAGGAGTGTCATTTTCCAACCCATTTAGAGATAATCATGCTATCACCCGGAAATTACCATCCCGCTACTCTCGACTCATTTCTTTATAAGTGTGTTTTGTTGGCCATTGCATCAGGTAAATTTGGACGGTCTGAGATGAGATTTGGTAGTATATAAATTTTGCATCATATCTGCTCACATTGTATATTCGTTTAGGAAGAAAATTAAACCATAAAATAAATTGAAGCCAAGAGAAAACGTGTAAGAAGTAAAAATATTTCGCAATAATTTGTTGATTTACAATCTGAATGTGGATACCGCTATCCTAGTCTTTATCTTATTGCTCCGGCTCTTGAATCACTTGAAATTGTTGTCAAAATGTCTTGAATTAACAAGAAATTAAGGTTTAGTTGTTAACCAGTATGGGCTTTTTAAAAATCAACACCAATAAGATGTAATCTAGTTTATTAAAATCTTTAATTTCATCTAAGTGACTTGGGTTCAAGTCTCACTAAAGACTTTATGCTATTTTTTCCTATTGGAAAACGCATAAATTAAAACAAAATAGGCAGTGGTTTGATGAGCGATTAACCATCTAAACCGGTCATGAACGTGGTGGGCGTAAATTAATCCAGTTTGAGGCTGCACGAACCGAAACTAGACATGAATCCAATTATCCCAGCAGAACAGATTAATCTGGTCGGGGTTTATCGGCACATCTTGACACGAATGACGACGAAACTAAATCAAAATATTAGGAACCGGAGACAATAATCTTCGAAGGCAAAAAAAAAAACCCCAACAACAGATGAAAGGTGTCTTTCTCTTGCATAATTTAAAAAAAGTTAGGCAACGAAGTGTGTGTGATTAGAAATTTAATATTATTCCATCGGTAAGATTTTCAGGCCGGTCTAAAACCGGAGCAGAAGAGAATGCACAGAAAACGACGATCCCACAAGGCGCCATCGTGACTAGCAGCGCTGCCGTGCGAAATCCCAATCCACTGTCACGTCGAGATGATGGTGATGAAGTCCCGTGAAGGAGCATTACCACATTGCAGTAAGCAAAAACTTGCATCGCTAATGCCACCATCATATCTCGCGCACCATAATCCAAAACCCTCCATCGAATTTTAACAAACATGTGGATTTTGATATTTAAGAATGTAAGCCCAACCATAATCCACAGATCGACGACGACGCGACGATCATCGTCGTCGGATCTACAGTATCCGACGAAGATCGAGACGAGGATGACGAGGATCAGGTCGGCGGACTTCGCGCAGCGCCCCCATGTAGAGTCCGGAGCCTTTGCACCCCAGTGAATGGCAAGTTTATTCGGGAGCAAATGAAGCAACACGAAGTAGATTGCGGAAACGAAGATGAAGATCGTATGACGCTGACCGAGTTTTGCCGAGTCCGGGAATGTGAAAACTGATAGTAGAACTAAAGCCGGCAATTCGAAAAAGCAAATGAATGACGGAACAATCCATAACGTGAATACTGGTGCCTTGCCACCACTTGTGTTATTTTGGAGTTGTTTCTCTTCTTCCCCTACCAATAATGTTATGGCTTCTTTCTCGTTTCCCACTTCCATATTCACCTCACTCACACCATACAAATTAGAGATATGATAGTACGAGGAGAGGAAAAAAGGGTTACTGACGATACTTTCCCTTTGCGGTTCTCTGTTTTTTTTTTTTTTGGGTTAGTTAATAATAGTTAGTAATTGTAAACCAAGTCTGAGAAACACCTGCACATTAATTTCGCACTTTCGTGGAAGACCTGAATCATCGATTTCATTATTTGCGTTCTAACCGTTTTACCAGGCTCAAGATAGGGTGCATAATTATGAGTTATGCATCCATCAATAACCAAATCTGGACTCTTCATTTAGAAAATCCAGATCTAAGGATGGAGAAATAAAGATAATTTTTATTTTCTCTAGGTTTTTTAATCGGCTCATATCTTTTTCGTTTTAACTCGGATTTTAATTTTTTTTGCACAGGTGGAACGAGTTCATCGTGCTCTACAAAATGAGATCAGTTTTCAATATTTTTTTAGAAACAAAAAATTCTGGCCTCTCGGTACCAACTGCATACCATATGGTATTTTCTTCATTTTTAATTTGTTTTTGAAAATGTTTGCACATAAGGGACGAGTCCATCATGATATATTGGATCTACAAATTTCTGGGTGAACAAATTACAGGAAAAAAAATACCACACAATACCATACAATACCACCCTGGTATGGGGTGGTATTGTATGGTATCTTCTTCGTTTTTAATTCGTTTTTGAAAACGTTTGCACAGAAGGGACGAGTTCATCATGATCTATTGGATCTACAAATTTATGGGTGAACAAATTACAGGACCAAAAAATACCACACAATACCATACAATACCACCCTGGTACGGGGTGGTATCTTGTGGTATACAATGTTAAAAGTCGTAAATGACAATTAATATATTTCTACTATCATGTATTCAACCATCCTACAGTCTTGGTTTGTTCATACCACCATGGTATTTTTTTAAACCACAGGTATGCTTTTATTTCAATACTAGTCAATACCATATGGTATAGACTGGTAAAAAATGACTCAATTTTTTTTTGTTCGAAAAATATATTAAAGTGGATATTATTTTGAGGAGCACAATTAATCTGATCTAACTGTACAAAAAAAATTAAATTTCGACTTAAAATGAGTGAGAAATCGTCCGTCAAAGATTAAAGAGGGGAAAATTAAAGGCTTTCCAAGAGAGAGAGGATGCTAATGTCATGCTGATGTGGACGGGTTACTCATGGTTACTCACCACAAGGTTACTCACCGGATATGCTCCCGTTTTACCAGGCTAGGAAATTCAAAACTTATCATCATTGGACATCACCGAATTTAGCGTTTAGGTCGGCTAATTAATCAGTAAGTAGTCATACACAGTCCTGATTAGTAATTAGTCGTATTCTTTATATATGTACATATATAATTACTAAATTAGAATATGAATATGCGTATTCTATGTAATATATGGAATGTATAAATGTGTATACAACAGTGTATCATGTTCAATCTACATGTTACCCTCCCTAAATACACACATTCTCACCCGTATACTTATATTCACAACGAAAAGTATTAGGGAAAAAAAAGGAAAATATTTAACAGCGGTTACAAGCAAGGTAGTATAACTAATCATACCCTAAACTCTCCCTGTGAAGAAGATTAATTACACCATTAATTAGCGTAAAATTACGAAATAACGATCACAAGGAAATCTCGCTGAGAATAGGTTCGTCAAGGAAAAGTTCGGTCCAATTGTAGGAAGTCACCCCGCCGGCGTAGCTAGAGCTGCTGCTGCTAGTACCCTCCCCGCCGCCGGCCGTCGGGTTGCTTGTTGAGGTCTGAGGGAGGGAAGACGGCGGCGGCGACGGCAGAACCTCCACCGGCCACGAGTTCATCATCTCGTTATTATTATTATGATTAGTATTATTATTATTATTAATATCGTTATTATTACAGTCATTACCATTGGCCATGGTCGTCGCTGTAGTGGTTGTGGTAGTTGTTTGTGTAAGGAAATGGACTTCTTCTTCCTCTTGTGGGTCACACAAAGGAGGGAGTAGAATATGGTTATGGTGGTGGAGTGGTTGAGTGGCCGCCATGGGAGAAGTAGTAGAAGTAGTGATCATATTACCAAACTGGGAATTATTGAACTGATGATGATGATGATGAAGAAGTTGTTGGTTAGGGAGAGAATTGAGGAGGTTGATGAGTTCTATGTCGGCGGCAGCGGCGGAAGAAACGACGCCGTTTTGGTGGTTTGATAATGATGACGTGGAGGAGGATTGGAGGAGGTACTGGACGTACTGGAGCTTCGCGAGCTGGAGGGCCTCGGCCTGTAGTCTCGTTGTTTGGTGGTCCAGTGGGTTGTTGTTGTTGTGGTCGAGTAGGAGGTCCTTGAGCTGGACCAGGGCCATGAGTTGAGGCAGCGTGGCGAACAGGTCGGTTCGCGGCTGGTGGGTCATCGGGTCGAATCCCATCTGGATCAGTTTCTTCTTGAGATGGGTGTTCCAGAAGTTTTTTATCTCGTTGTCTGTACGTCCTGGTAGATGACTTGCTATTGCTGACCACCTATTTTCATTAAGTAAAAAAAAAAAATTTGCATAAGAAACTGCTTTTTTTATGTGAAACATTTTTCATGACTTGAATTGTATATAGAAGTCTTCTAATTATTGATCTATGATTATATTGAACATAAATATATAGTTGATTCATGACTTGAATTTTATCAAAGTCTTCTAATGATCAATGATTGTTAACCTCAATAATTGATTAAAATATCAGATATGGTAGCTTCCTGATGATTTTTTTGTTGTTGTTGTGATATATAGCTGATATTGTAAAATCGTATTGTGGAAGAAAAATAGAAAATCGATAATAATTAATTAAATAATCGAGTCGAGGTATGATAAAGTTAAAATCTAATGAACTCAGATCGTTATGATAAAATCATATCGATCGATCGAGCACAGTTATTGAATGGGTCACTACTCACTTGTTGCCAAGGAAGGAATGGAGATTGAGAATGGTCTGTTCTTCATCCTGAGAGAATTTCCCCCTCTTGATATCAGGTTTCAGGTAGTTCGTCCACCTCAGCCGGCAGCTCTTGCCGCACCTATTCAACCCTGAACGCACGAAAAACAATGATCATTGGCCGGTCGACGGACGGCATGCAGAAGGAAGAAAGAAAAAGTAGTAGTTCACTTACCGGCGAGCTTGGGGAGAGCTCTCCAGCTTCCATGGCCGTGTGCCTGAATAAAATCCACCAGCTTCTTGTCCTCTTCGGTTGTCCATGGACCTTTCTTCAGCCCATTCTCGTCGCAGCAAGGAGACCTTCCCATCGTCAATTCTCTGGAGGAGTAGTGGGTGATGGGTAAGGGTTTACTTAGCTTGTGGAATTGGGTTATGCTTCCTTTTGCTCCAACCAAAACCTGATGCCAGTATATTTATACACATACGCAAGTAACATGGAATATTATATTAGCTCCCCATTTGCTAGCTCTTATTGGCTTTATTTGGTTATTGAAAATGATTTGTACATGTATGGTACATACTAATATAGATTTATAATGTAGCTAGGTAATGATCAACTGGCGTACTCCTGAAGTATAAATATCGTACTCTAAGTGAGATGGTCGTTTGATCTGCTTGTTGTACTTCGACGAATCGACACGATATTTTTTTTATTATTAAAAACGAATTTTTGGGAGAATTGGGTGTTGGAGTTTATCAATAAGATGTTAGGGCACGGTATCATACACCAAACACAGTTTTGGTTCATAGTCTAGATAGACATATCATACTAGAAGCACCAAAAGTATAGCATACTCCAGGAGCATAATAGTGTGACCCAATGTAATATGTAAGAGGAAGGGGGTGTTAAGAACGAGTTGGTCCCAATAACTCGAGTTGTTGGAAGATGGTCAATAATGTATCTTATACCGCATTCAAACGCGCCTCCTCAAACTCAAACCACACAAATGGACTTGAAGTTTGCACAGTTTAGAAATGGGGTCATCAACGACCGTTTGATCCAATAACTCGCGATCTCTTAATAGATACGATAATGAATTTCATACTACATGATATGATCAGGGGGGTTGGTTGACTGCGATGGAGACACTTCCCTCCATCTGCTAACTGCTATATAGGCCAGATGTGCAATAATCTTTGAATTGACAGTTGATGTCCCCCAATACGCCTCCCTTCACTCTCGTTGAATTTGCTCATCGTCACCACCACCATTCGTGTTTGGAGACGAAACACGGCCAACAAAAAAACAAAGAAAAGGGAAAGGAAATGCTTCTGCAGCAACAACAAAGACCATTATTTCCTGGAATTTCAAACCCTAAGGAGAGGAAACTGTCGGTCAAATCTAAAAGAAAAGAGGTGATGATCTATGCCCACTCGCCCACTCTTTCTTTTTATTTTTACAAAACATTATATAATTTGATGCATGTATCATGACCAAGTTTGGATTTAGTTGCTGATTCTTATTGATCTGGAGGAGCTAGGGGCTAATAATTCTGATTCTATCACATTTTGAATTGATTCTCAACCTTGTACTTAGGTTGTACATAGATCGGGTGGTTCAAGTTTAATCGTTTTAATCACCCGACCAATAAACTTCAGTTTTGAAAATGCTAAATCCACCAAAAGAAATTGGAACTGTAAGGTTTGTTTATAATTAGATTGGGTCGGGTGAGCTATAGTTTTAAGTAAAAATCCAACATAAAAATTTATATATCTATTTAAAATTTTAAAACAAAATAAACCAAAATGCATAAAGTTGTTTGTTTGGATCTTGATGAAGTAAAATTTGTTTCAACATATGTCTAGTAAAAAGCTAAAGACGTTATTCATTGTAAGATGACCATAATATGTTATTCTTCTAAAATTGGATAAGAAAAAACTCCACGAACCATTACTTATATTAAATACATCTAATATAAAATTAAAATATCTTAATTCCCTAAAAAATATGCTATTTTGTTCACTCATAGTTGTACTAAATATTAAGGGGTCTGCTATCTACAAATTGCATCACCCATAACTTGCACCCAATTCAAGAGAGGCGTGTTCCAAAAAACAAAATCCTCACTCTATCTTAAATCTTAAATTTGGCGATAAATACGGGTATGTTAAATCGGATTTGACGACTGGGTGGGATTACACTTATTTTGTTCACTCATACTTGTACTAAATATTAAGGGGTATGCTATCTACATGTTGCATCACCCAAAAATTT